GGAACCCACCCGGCAGCATGAAGTGGATATTGGACAAATAATTGAATTAGTCCAAACCGAGTCCACATTATAAACAGGCTACTGGTGGCTTATTAAATTAGGTCTAAATATATTTTTCTTAAGAGATGACTGATAATAGGGGCTTTTAGATTTGCACGTCGACATTGTAGACTGCTACGTGTGATGTCCTTGTGTACATTAAAAGGACGTCACACGTATCAGTCCACTATCTCGACGTGCAAATCTAAAAGCCCCTAATACAAAATCGAAGTAAAGCATTGAATACAGCTGAAGCTTTCGACTCTTTTTTGCGATCTTCTCTGATAAGTGCAAGACGGAAAGCTTTAGTATGCCTGTATTCACGGTTTTCACTTCCGGGATCCGTTCGAAATATTACATCTACGGAATTAAAAATTAGAGATTTCTGCGGCAAAATGGAGATAAATTCAGGCAAAGAGAAGAACAGAAAAGGCTAATTAGAATTATCAGAATAATTAGATGGTTTGTGCTATGAAAAACTTCAAAGGAGATACAGAAATTGAGATAGAAATAGATCGAGGGACAGAGAGATAGAGAGAGAGAGAGAGAGTGATAGATTGAGTGAAAGAGAGGAAAAGAAAAAAAAAAACAAATTGTGGGGGCGTGGTAAAAGAATAATTTATATACGGTATATCACTCAGGTAAGTAACGCGTCAGCAAAAACAGATTATTCATTTACATCTTTCTTTTTAGGTGATCAACCTGCTGATCTTGTTTCCGCTCGAGTAGACTACCGATTTCCTGGACTTGGAGACTCTGCCAAGGACGCAGAAGTTCGGCGAAACTTGTGACCCGACCCGAGCAGGGCCCTGTTTCATGAAACTTGTTATCAATAACAAATGCTAAATTTCTATGACAAATTTGTTCTCAGCCAATCAAATGCCGCGATTTCAGAAGCAGTTATTGTCAATTATTGTTGGCAACAGGTTTTCCAATCAGGACCTTGTTTCCTAAGATTCATTAACCTCTGCTACTTTCCTTTTTTATATTTGCTCACAGCTACTAAAATGCAACGATTTCAGTAGCTTATAACAGCTACTACCTTTATAATAAAACATTCCGGGTAAAAATAATAGTCATATATTCACCCGACTTTGGGCACTTGCTTAACCCAACTTGGTTAATATTTTGCCCATTTTTAATTAGTAATTCTAATTTGACCCTATTTTGGCAATGCATTACTCAAGTTGGGTAAAGCAAATGCTCCAAAATTGGTTGGATACATAATCAACCTCGTGCTGGCAAATTTTAACCCATAATTTAAGAAACCTATTATTGGTATCACTATCAAGTCTTATGAAACAAATCTAGCCGGGTTCCTTAAAAAACCAGTCATAATCCATAAAAAATCCGACTGGTCTATTAAGAATATTCTCAATAAACTAAACATGATAACAGTTGATATTTGAAGAAAAAAAACACGAAATTAGAATTCAGATGAAGAAAAAAAAAATCGTCTAAATGCATAACGTGTTTTTACACATAAATAACAAATCCAAGACCCTCACACAATTTCGAAACAAATTGGCATCATAATGAAGCTATAATAAAGATTTACACAAAAAAGACATGAAAGGAAATATTCAAACGGACTTCAATTTGCGAAGACTTTTGTCAGAATACGTTTTGCTGCAGAAGATTTTGCAAAAAGTCATACAACTTAGTGGCGTACGCAGGATTTTTTCAAGGGAGGGGTTTTAAAATCGGGACCAAATTTGCTCCCGGGGTTAGAGGACACTTTTTGTTGTTGTTTGGTCTCGAAATTTGAAAAATTGACATTATGTTCCGTTGGGGGGGGGGGGGGGGGGGGTAAGGTCACCTTGTTTAGGTCAGCCATTGGCCTTTTTTTTTATATATATAAAAAAAAAAAAGGAAGGGGGGGGGGGTTTCACATAAAAAATACACAAAACATACACATAAAAAACTCAAGGGGGAGGGGTTTAACCCCAACCCCCCCCCCCCCTTTCCTGCGTACGCGCCTGATATAACTGATAAATGCCTTCTTGAGGTACAATCTGTATTGCTGTTGGATGTTTAACAAGAAGTTCTAAGTAGAAGCATTCACAATTTGTAACAATTTGTATTGTTAAAAAAGACCGGAATTTGATCGGATCTAGTGACTTCTTGATGGTTATCGGTGACCTCCTTGAGTGTAGACCCTGCTCTTAAACTCGTCAAAGTTCAAGAATGCAGGATGCAAACTAATTTACCTCTGACTGAAAAGTAGGACACCGAGTGTAGTGTAATGAACGGGTACATGCAGGTCAGTAAACACAACCCGAGTTCAGTTGTGTTGCCAATTTGAGGTCATGATCAGTACAAAATGATCGGTCATGTTTGAGTTAAAAGTTTACAAAATGAGTTCAATAGTGTTGCCAATGTGAGATCGTGATCAGTTTCAAAGAGATGGGTCATGTTTGAGTTGTAAGTTTAAAACTCGAATTCAGTAGTGTTGCCAATTTGAGATCATGATCAGTTTCAAAGTGATGGGTCATGTTGGGGTTTTCTAAGTTTACAACACGAGTTCAATAGTCTTGCCAATTTGAGATCATGATCAGTTTAAAGAGACGGACCATGCTTGAATTGTAAGCTCACAACACGAGTTCAGTGGTATTGCCAATTTAAATTCATGATCAGTTTAAAGAGACGAAACATTTTGAGTTGTAGGTGTACCACGAGAGTTCAGTATAGTGCTCCTCAAGGTCATGGTCAGTCCAAAGAGGTGGGTCATGTTTGAGTTGTATAAGTTTACAACCCGAGTATACTTTGCACTGGCGTACCTATGGGGGGGGGGCAGGGGGGGCAGAGTGCCCCCCCCTGACGGGCTCCAGGGGAAAAAAAGAAAAAGGGGAAAGAAAAGAAAAAAAAGGAAAGGAAAGAAAAAGAAAAAAAGAAAAGGGAAGAAAAAAAGGAAAGAAAGAGAAAAAAGGAAAAAAAGGAAAAGGAAAGAAAAAAGGAAGAAGAAGAGAAAAGGAAGAAAAAGGGAAAAGAAAAGGAAAGGAAAAAAATGGGGAAATTAAAAAAAAAAAAGACCATGGCCGTACGCACCAGGGGGGGGGGGGGGCAGTTGACCCCAGATATTTTGAAAACGTACAGTTTTTTTCCTGAAAATGTAGTGTAGGCCTATACCAAATCCTTCAATTCTACTTTTGAAAATGCAAAAGTACCCTCATGACCAGTTCGGTCGCTCGAACTCCCTTCACTCCTTTTGCTTTTGAGATTCTTCGAAAACTTTTAACGCATCTTTCCCCCTCCCCCACCAGAAAAATATTCCGCATACGGCCCTGAAAAATTTAGACAAATGAAAATAGGAAATTATAAGTGATATAACAAATTCGAAACTCTTCGCTGGCGCGAACTGCTTGCTAGCCTATTTTGTATTAAATGTTTTCACTTGCTCGTCCCCCTGAAAAAAGAAAAGGATTAGCATTGCCTAGAATACAATTGTGCCTGCCCCGACGGGCCCCACCTGCAACCATGGCAACAATAACACACAGTGTATGTACCAAATGTTACTAAAAGAGAGTAATTCATTTTTCTCGCTCGATACACTTGCTCGCGAATAAAATGAATAGATATTGCTTTGGAAACAATTGTGCCCACCCTTGACCTGCAACAATATCATTAAAAATGGAAGAGTTTTTACGCCCTCTCGCCAAAAAGGAATTGAATAGCGTTAAACACGATTGCGTCCATTCTGACCTGCACCAATAAAAGCTAGTTTATTTATTCATTTCTATTAAAAGAGAATTTTTTTTTGCTTGCTCGCTATGCTCGCTCGCCAAAATGGAATTGACACCGCTAACGTGCCCGCCCCAACCTGCAACAACCAGTTAATAATTATGTACCAAACGTTATTCAAAGAAGTTTTGGTGTGCTCGTGCTCGCCAAAACGGAATTAACATCACCTTAGACATGATTGTGTAAGCCCTGCCCTGCAACAAAAAAAATCTGAAATTTATGAACCAATTATTATCATTACAAAAATTTTGCTCGCTCGCTACGCTCGCTCGCCAAAACAGAAATAACACCGCTTTTAATAATCACGTCCGTGACATGGAACAATGAACCAAAGTTTATGTACCATATTTTCCCTATAAAAGAGAAGTGATTTTTTTGCTCGCTCGCCAAAATAGAAATAACACCGATTTTAATAATCACGTCCCTGACATGGAACAATGAACCCAAGTTTATGTACCATAATTTCCCTACAAAAGAGAAGTGATTTTTTTGCTCGCTCGCTACGCTCGCTCGCCAAAATAGAAATAACACCGCTTTTAATAATCACGTCCCTGACATGGAACAATGAACCTAAGTTTTATGTACCATATTTTCCCTATAAACGAGAAGTGATTTTTTTCGCTCGCTCGCTACGCTCGCTAGCTCGTGCAATTCATTGAGAGAAAGATGTATTTAGGCTCGCTAGCTAAAATGGGTATGATATCACCCTAAACACAATATTGTTCCCGCACCCTGCATGGGACAATTGAACCAAGTTTAAGTGGCAATTATTAAAAAAGGAGTGATTTTTTTTCTTGCTCGCTACGCTCGTTTGCAAAAAAAATGAAATTAACGTCGCTAACAAGTATGTTCCCACCCCAACTTGCAACAATACCAGTTTATATACCAAACGTTACTTAAAGATTTTTTTTTGCTCGCTCGCTCGCCAGAAGTGAAAATTAGCATCGCCTTTTTTGTTTGTTTCGGTCGCTTGCCCCCCCTGACGGAGTACCCCAGGTACGCCACTGATACTTTGTCCAAAAAGGAATTGGGTTTGGGCTAAAGGGAAGTGGCATCTCTGAGAAGGTGCAGGCATTGTGTGTGGGGCTGCGGACAAGCCTGAATACTATGACCCTTGTATATAATGAAATATCTGCACAGATGTTTTATTTGTGATATATCATATGTATATTTAAATTACCATTGCATCTTGTCCTATCTTTTCCCAACCTCGTCCCCAGATTCTTCAACCAAAGAATGAACTGGCTCCAGGCGCAACGAGAATGCAATAAATATTCTGCCCTCAACGGTACCACGCCTAGAGGCTATCTCATGACGTCGAAAGACCAACAGCACAACAATTTCCAGCACAATTGGCTGCGTTACACAGGGGGAGGACTAAACAAAGTATGGCTGGGACTTTCGGAGAAAACCAACAATAAGTAAGCAATAGGGGAAGGGAAGTTTACAACAACTTCCTGTAAGACGCAAACGACGGATAAAAGGCGACGTTGATATAGGACATACACTGAAGTCTTTGACAAAAATTACCCTTATCATGATAATTATTCATAACCAATATGGTTACTCTTATGGATTTAGGAGAAGAAAAACAAGGAAAATTAAAAAAAAAAAAAAAAGGGGGGGGGGGATAAATGAATTGTGAAGCAGCAGCTGAGCTTTTTTGTTACTCTGTTATTTATTTAAAAGTAAAATGTAGGTATCTGACGAATTATGAGGCTTACCAAAGCTAAACACTGGATTTTGAATTTCAAGCTAATGTTGCGTTGCCATTTGTAGCGGGCACCTAGCTCTGTGTTTATATCTCATTATTAACAGTCAGTGGTGTAGCGAACGCTCCTGAAGACAGTGACAATATGATGGGGGGGGGGGCATCCTCCTTACTCGATGGATGAAACTAAATACTAAATTAGAAGGCCTCCTGTTACGGAAGAGAGTTTAGGAAGGGGTCGTCTTTTAATTTTCCTTTCCCCGTCTTTCTTCCTTTCATTTTTCTTTAAACAAACATTTTAATACACCCCTCTTTTATAGCTACATCACGGCCCACAATGTGTCACAAATGGTAAAGAAATTGCGTAATATCATATCATACCCCCCCCCCCATCACCATCGTTTGCTTTTCGATTACACCATATTTTGTGGAGTAAACTTTTTTCGTAAGGGGGGACGCACATGGCCCTCAGAGAGAACGGTATCAATACTGATGAGTCTACCCTGGATAAACAATACATTATTACTAATATTAATATCATTATCATCACCCCTGCTCTTTTGCAGCTACTTCTGGGCCGACGGAACCCCGCTGCTCCCCACCCAGTGGAACAAGTGGAAGATCGACCAGCCCCAGCTCAACGCCCACATACAAGGCGTCCACACATTCGACAACATGGTGGATATGACCTGGGTGACGTCATTCTACAAGACCGAGATGTCGTTTATCTGCCAGTATCAATACATGCTCTAGAGTGGAGCAGTTTTTATATGTTATTATTTTGTTTCCCTTGCTTTGTTTCATAAAACTTGCTTTAAATGTAATAACAGACACATACAAAAATGAAAGAAACATTTAATAGCATGGATTATCATGGGGAATTCGACACACAATTACTGCACATGGAAACTGCCGACAGTATGTCTTTAAATGAAAGTAATTGATTTCGGAAGCTTATTTCAGTTACTGTTCGTTATTGTATCAAGCTTTATTAGAAAAATATTTTTCAAAAATATATATGCCAGAAATTGAAATTAAACATTCTTTATGAAAAATCCGCTTAAAAACTCGGAACACGTTATATGCTAACGTGAAAACATACAGTGCAACTGTGGTTTTATTGGTGGTTTTACAAATGTAAAGGAGATATTCTGTAGAATGAAGAAGGTCTATCGCATTTCTTGCGAAAGCTTGTTGCAGGCTTGTGCTATGACTTAAAATAACAATACATATAAGTTGAGTAGGTATGTTATTCGCCTGTGAATTAGACTCAAATGAACTATTACTAAAAGGGTAGTTTAATAAAAGTAATATTTATTAAGAAATTATATTGTGTAACGGATATAGAAGTAAACAATTTTCGATAAAAAAAAAGAATGAAGGGTAAAGTAATTGAGGAAAATAAAGGAACTAGGGATCGGAAACAAGTGTATCCTAGTAAATATTGGTATCATTCTTGCTTTATCATACTGCTTATTGATAATATTATCTTAATTTTTTACTAGTTTGATTACATTTTTTCTACTTCTTCTTCTTCTTCTTCTTGTTCTTCTTCTTCTTCTTCTTCATCTTCTTCTTCTTCTTCTTCTTCTTTTTCATCTTGTTCTTGTTCTTGCTTTTATAATTATTATTATCATTATTGCTATTACTCTTATTATTATCACTATTATTATAAATGTAATTACCACTGATGTTATAATTGTCGATATACGTTTCGTTATAAATTCAAGTGCTTTTTTTCATAGTCAATATTTTTCTTATTTATTTGTACCAACCAATTTTTCAAACCTTTGTCACTAGTATTCCTATAATTTTGGACTATATATTTTTTAAATTATAATTGTAAATATTGTTTTCTTGAATTAGGAACGAGCAGTAAATGCAGTAAGGTAATTTCTGTAAGTAATTATTGTAAGTAATAGCTGTAAGTAATACTTGCAAGAACTGTAATAGCGATGCAAGCAACGAAAGAGTATAGATATGAGTGGCATTAACACAGAAGGTAAAAGTATTAACTTTTACAGAAAAGTTTGTAACAGGAATTTTCCTGAACTGAATTTCTTACGGGAAAGTATAGTGTAAGGCATTACGAAGCTGTGTATAATGGTTAATTGAAGACTTGCTTCCATACTGCCTTGTCTTTTTTTATATCCATGATGATGGGTTGCTTACAGAAGGCAATTGTCATGATCTAGTACATTTCTGATAGATAAGACATTATTTAATTTGTTTAACGTAAGTATTTTATGTTATTTTTAATGTGAATGAAAAGAACTAAATGTGCAATAAATAAAGTGCAATATGATTTTCGATTGTGCGTGTCTCTTGAAAATGACTATTGGTAAAGTTAAATAATTAATATTGGTATTCTTTAACTTTGACAGTTTTTCGAATTATGCGCGCCCCTCCCCCTTACCCATAGAAATACACATTCCTCCCCAGTGCTGTTAAATATCAAATATACAAAGAGGTTGATGCATTTCAAAACATGCCTCATCCACCTTCCATCAAGATCTAACTTTTTAAAAACAATTACCGATGTCCTGCATCTACATGGACACACAAATTATTTTAAAGAAAACAAAAACAAAACAACAACGTTGAATTGCCCATGGGACTAGTAAAGGAATGGGGAGAACTGCATAGAAAAGTAGAGTTGTAAAACTGTGCGACTGTTAAAGCCAAGATGTGGAATAATACTTGGTCAAGATCGTATAGATGAACGGTGATTAGGCATTTGTCTGTAAAAAAGCACCAAATAAGTAAATATACCAATAATTTGTTTAATCACATGATAATTGTGAATATCGAGTTGATAGACTGATGCCGTTATTGCTGGTTTAAAGATGAATGGGGAGAGTCGAGGGGCGAGAAGGAGTGAGATGCGAAGTAGAGTGGGACATGGAGGCGGGGGGGGGGGGGGGGGCAGAGATGATGGCGGATGAGAGAAGTGAAGATTGTGCATTGCAGGACAGCAGGGGAGGGGTAAAGGGAATATTGGATGAAAAAAGAAAGAAAAAGAAGAGTCAAAGAGCAGGAGATGATGAAGGAAATGAAAAGAAAATCATAATAGCAGACCGAAGAGGAAAAGGAGAATTTGAAAATGTAAACTAAAGTATGACGCCGCACCCCCCACCCCCCACCCCCACCCCCGTTGAATGTTAAGTAGAAACCTGTGATATTTTTCAACCATGTTGTGGTGATTATGCTGGCAGCGATGGCGTCCTTGCAGTATAAACGTAATCTCCGGTGCTAGCCAAGTCTCACGGTATGATATTATTAGCATGATATTAATAGAAACATTATTCTGCTTTCATCCTTTCGTTTACGCATTGGGATTTTTTTAACGATGCTTACAAGTAAAAGTGTATAAGAAAAGTATTCGACAACCAACAAATTCAGAATATCGATTATTACGTCAGATAATTACCCTATTATTCAAAATAACAATCATGAAATATAAATTGCATAATTACGTTTTCATTAACACTGACAACTTACATTGGTTCAAATGACTGTATCATGCAGTGTCTTTATTTTACAAACAGCATGGAAAAGAATGCTTGAATATTAGTCAATGATAATCCATTAGGTGATGATCATTGCGCGAAGATACATTTCTTTTTAATTTGGAGCTTTCATATTTATGGACGGACATTGCCTTTAAACAAATCGTCCAATAATAATAATATATATATATATATATAATATTGATTACGATATGCATAATAATATCAGTTCTGCTACTACCTCTACCTCTACTACTTCTACTACTACTACTACTACTACTACTACTACTAATTATGATATTAGGATAGGAATGATAATAATCATAATAAAAGAGTTAATGATAAAAATAATGACAATGATAATTATAATCATAATGACCATAATAATAACAATGGCTACGGTAAAATAATCACAAGTAACCTACGAGTCAAACACCTTTCTGTGTACTATTGTAGCAAGCATTACTAAGCAAGAAAAATCAAATAAAACGATGACTAAGTATAGTAAATGACACCATCATTACAGTAGCCACGTCGGTTTATAGTTACATAATTAGATTATTGTCAGATTTCCTGTTAGTAGGTAACGTGACCCAATCCCTAGGGGGTTAGGGATCTCACTTAATACCCCCATGCCTAAATTAATTTTGGCGCGCTTTCTAGTCGGCCCTTTCTATAAAGCGCGCGGAAATGGTGAACCGGAGATCCTAATGTGTATAGGTACCATCGATAACAAGAGGTAACAAGCAGAGTGAATTCGTGTTTCATTTTTTGGAACGTAGACGACTCCCAAAGTTATGCCGATGATATGAAATAATGATAAATATAGCAGTAGTAGTAGGAGTAATAACAATAATAATGATAATAATAATAATAATAATGATAATACTGATAATACTGATAATAAAAACATGAAATATTTTTCTTTCAAAAGACCGTTTATATAGCTTTAATAGTTTACAAAGGTGAGATATTATTGAACAAAGTTGCAGTATCTCTTTGATTGAACTAATGATGCCGTTGTAAATAGAATTGAGTCTCTCCGGGAGTTGTGAGTTTAAACTCACAACTCCCTGATCTCTCTTTATCTTTCCCATTTTGTTCACATTTATGTTCGGCTTTTCTGCGTGTGTACGTGTGTGTGTGGGGGGAGGGGTGTGGGTGAGTGGGTGTTTGTATGGGTGTGTGTGTAGGGGGTGGGAGGTGTCCCTGTAACTATGCAAATGAAAACAAGTACCGTGCACACATCAAAGCTGGTATCGCTTAAAATTAATGTCGGTAATCTTTCCATAGAAAAGAAACGTGGTACACTTTACACCGGTTAACTCTTATCCTACCAAAAAGTTTCATTACCAACCGTTTGTCATAGGCTTGGGTGATCTGCAATAGTTCTAAAATTCTGCGTCGATTCATCATTCTTGTTACACCCATACAGAAAGTTGCTTAACTCTTCGTCTACAGCACAACGAGGGTCTTAAGAAATGTGAGGAAATCATGGATCTCACATTCTGGCGGCATTGAAATATGGCCACAGATTTGCCAACCCACCGGCATTTGACTGAAACGTTTATGGTGGGGCGGATCATAACAAAATCATACATTGCTTGTCCATGAATTAAGAAACAATAGATTCAACCTACTTCCTTGAACCAAAAATTCGATCCATCCGCTCTATTTGCTTATCTGTTCATATCTTGCAGACACTGGAAATAAGCTCTTGAGCTTTCGTGGGTTATCCTGTTCAAGCTCACTTAATTTCGATCTGTTATTCTTGTACATTGTTGTGTGTTGGAAGCTTGGCGAATAAAATTCTAGCACTGATAGTACTATCTTCTTGAAACCGTCAATTGCATTTCAAAAAAATTCTTTATCTCAACAATCTCGCGATCTACGAGATCAGTGGAAAGGATATAAAGACGATAGAACAGAATTCGATTACTATTGATTTCCTCCTCTTAATCCTACAGTAGGAAACCATTCTCGAAGACAATAATGCTAACATAGACCCCATTCTCACTCACTTCTTGGACCGATCTAGACTAGACCGATCCACTAGATCGCTCCAGAGGTACTAATCGAAAATAATCGTAATTTTGAATACTGATAGGGACGTTGAAATTGTGAGACATTGACATGAACGCATAACAAAAGTGGACACTGGCACTTCTACAAGAAGCCATCATGATCATCATCATTCTTACATTGTTTTAAAAACAGTAACCTAAAAAAAAAGGACCACAAAGACTTTGGAGAAAATCAACATCAGGCAATTCCAATAGGTTCGTCCATCATCAAATGAAATGTGCGAATGTCACAAAGAAGTATTACGTAATCTGAACATGATTTCTATGAGATTCACATCAAATTGTCTCTGAGCTGATTTCTTGAAAAACTTTGCGATCGTTATAATTATACCCCCCCCCTGACCGAATATCCCTTGCTAATGCTAGCCATTTAGACGGGTAATGTCCCATATGATCCTTTGGGATGGTCATGCTATGGGTTGTAGATACATTTTCACGTTGCTTAAGTATTTTAATACCGTAACATCCATGACAATCTGAACAGTTACCCTTTTTTAAAAACAGAAATCAACGGATAAACAAGATTACAACATTCGCAAGAAAAAGGAAACCCACTTTATTAGCAGGCCCGGGAAGGGGGGGGGGGCGGAGCACTTTTATTTTGGGTAGGCCTATTCATAACGCCCACAATGCAAATGGATTGGATCTCAAAATGAAAATTCTTTATTCTCTTTTGTATACAAGCTAAATGTTTTGTTTTCAGCCATATTTAAGGCACAGCTACAAGAAATCTGGAAGTGATTTATTTTCATAGCTTTTCTCACATTAAGGTCAATTGGCGGCCCCGGTAGTGGGGAGGGTGCCCCCCCCGGGGGGGGGGGGTAGCACCTCAAGGGTGCTACTTTTATTATGTATTCATTGTCATTACTATTGTTATTCGTGCCGTTTAATTGTTTACATGACCTATGGATCTGAGCAGATAGTGGTTTAGGTACAGGAGGCAACAAGGAGGGGAGGGGGGGGGGGGGTGTGGTGGGGTACGTAAAGCTTGCAATCCAATATCCAAACAAGGGAAAGAAAAAGTGAAGGAGAATTTGATATGTAATTCGAATAGTTAATTCGCATTTCTTTAACCGAGTAAGACGACCCCCCCCCCCCCTGTTCCGGGGCGTTTTTTCTTTGCCTGGGCAAACGCTAAGCGACTGTAAGCATGCCTTCCTGAGTATGATAAACTCGCCTTGTGAAATGAATGGAAGGAAATGGAATTTCTCCGACCCAAACTCTATTGTTTTGAATTTACTCATATAGTACTCATATCCAGTTTATCTTGTCTGGCTGACTGCCTTTCAATGCAACTAGGTCACGTTTGGGAGTAGCAACCGCGTCTTAAGTAAACTATGTAATCATTTTGTGACGTATATATACATGTTCTTGAGGGCAAGGCTAACTTAGCTGCCATGAAATTGATTCCAGTAGAAGGTGAAAATAATGACACATTTTATCAAAAGTTTGAGATATACACGATAAAGAAGAAAACGTACTGGAATGTTTAAGATACACACAACAACATCAACAGGTAAGGTCATGTTTGTGCGAAGCAACCGCGTAAAAAATTATTCTGTGACGTATAGTAGAGGACAAGGCTAACCTAGCTGCCATTTCATTCAACGTTTTAGATAAATTCGATAAAGAATATATGTTCTGAATGTTTACGATACACCTGTACAAACAACAACATCAACAATTAGGTCATATTTGGTAAAAGCAACTGCGAGTCGTATAGTAAACAGTGTAGTCGTTCTGTGACGTATAGTTCAGGACAAGGTTAACCTGGCTGCCATGAAATAAAAGTTTGAGATAAAGAATATTATGTTCTTAATGTTTAAGATACACCTGTACAAACAACAACATCAACAATTAGGTCATATTTGCGAGAAGCAACTGCGCGTCTTAGTGTAATCATTCTGTGACGTATAGTTGAAGGCAAGGCTAACCTAGTTGCCATTATATTGATTCAAATAGAAGGTGGAAATAATAACACACTCCATTTTAAAGTTTGAGATGAACTCGTTAAAGAACGAATTGTTCTGATTTTTAAAGGTACAAGTAACAATATCAACAACGATTGTACATCTTGTAGGAGCCTATGTGTTGTTGTGTTTGGTACTTTGCAGCTACAGCATTTGCTCTGGTTCAAAATTAGGAATTGAGAGAACTACAGGACTACCATCTTAATGTTGTACAAATGATATAATACAGAAAACGGATACAAAATTTACATCATCTGGGGGGTGTTTAACAAAGATCCTAAGTCCAAACATAACTTTAAGTTAGACTTAAACATTATGGAGAGCCATTTGTAGTCTTAAAATAAATATATTCAAAAGCGAAAATTCAAGTATTTTAGACTTTATATAAATTCCACATCAAGAATAGGAAATCTCCTTGATAGTAGAAAATATGTATGATTTGAATGCCTTTTAAAATAACTTTTACAAAATATTTTCATAGATGCCAACGGCTTTCCATAATTGTTAATTCCAACTTAGAGATAAGTTCAACTTACAATCTTTGTGAAACACTCTCCAGGTACCGAAATAAAAAAACTTTAAAGGATTACGTAGGAAGGGTGGTTTTACGTTTCATGCTCCGCGCCATATTTCCTACTTAGTTGGTTTAGCACGCTACCTTACCTAAAACCCTAACTCTAAACCTAACCTAAACCCCAATTCCAACACCAACCAAACCATAGACGAATTGTGACGTAATGAAATAATGCCTGGATAAATTGTCATCGAAACAATGAACATGACGAACAGGTGTCAACAGCTCATATGGATTCGGATAAGTGTGTTTTTAGCACCGTTTTTAAAGGGTGTAAAGAAGAAGAAACCTTTAAATATGTGATGGGAGGATGTTCCACAAAATGGGAGCGGCCGCAGAGAGTGCTCCGTCACCGTAAGTTTTCTACTATTTTCATCAAAAATTAGTGTGGACTTCAAACTCCATCATCAAAATGTATATAAATCGGTTATCGCTTTAAAATCCCTGAGCGCACCTACTACCTTAGCTGACCTTCGCTGACCTCGCTCCTGAACTCTTCCGGTTTCAAAACCCCGGTTTATAAGAGGACAAAATCGGAGACATCTGGAGTTAAGGTGTCAGATCTGCAACCTTTGGTGGGCAGATAACGAAATTTGGTGGCAAGATGAGGACACTTATTCTAGCGGTTGTCGTCTGCCTTTTGACGGGGCAGGCTCTGGCTGTCACCTGCCCGGCAGGATGGGCTACCTTCGGCTACTCATGTTACAAGTAAGTGATAGGCTAGGGTACCACCGCCTTGATTTCTGCGGTTGGCGGATTGTTTTGGTGGTTGCTCGTTTTCAAAGATAATTAGTAATTATGATTATGATATGGCTTTGTTTATCTAAGGTAGCCTAATAGTAAGTGATAGGGTGCCACCGCCTTGCTATCTTGGGTTGGTGGATTGTTTTGGTGGTTGCTCATTTTAAAGATAATTAATAATTATGATAATAATATGACTTTGTTTATCTAGGGTAGCCTCATCAGTATCCATGTTCTCCTGGGTGCCAGTACAATCACATAATTACCTAGGCTTTAACCCGGCTACCATGCATGATGACTAGGTGCCAAGCGTTCGATGAATTTCTTCCTACCCCGTACACATCTACCACACCCGGGTAAAGAGTTGCAAATGTCGTTTAATATCTTGGCAAGGTGCACCAGGGAAATGGCAGCGATTATGGCTTTGTACATTTGGACGGTTAAATGCAAAAACGTGGAAATTTGTAATGGCGTAGCCCACACTCGTCTTAATTTATTGAAAGAAAAAAAAATGTATCGTCTGAAATAGTCACCATACCCTAAGTTTGAATATTATCGTCTCAAAATATGTATGTACACAGCAATGTCTTCTAACAATGTTTTAGTTTTGCATAATTTGTACGAAATAACGAGGAAGTCATGATGATATGAACGAACATGGCCATTTTTAATATTACATCACATTTTTAAGTTTCCTCAGTATAGTTTATCACGCTCTAATTCTAAATCAATCAATTTAAAGAAGTTCAACTGGAGACTCTAATTTATCATTTTTCCGAAACTCCAACGAGGATGGTATCTATTCGAAGGAATAGGGAACAGAATAAGGGTACATCTTTTTTTCTAGCTCTATAATCTTTGCATCTTTTTTCAGTTGATCGGGAAAGATTGTGTAATTAACATCAAGAAACACAAATTTGTAAAGTTTTAAGATAATCTTATTATCAGCGGAAGACACGTCTTAATCAGATCAGATGATCAGATAGACTAATCAGGAGGATTAACGACAGATCGCTTCTGGAATTGTTTGTATTGTGTTCTTGATCTCTACATAATCATTACATTATCATTTCCAGTCGTGAAAATCGTAGAAGCAACTGATTGTGAACAGACATTTTAAGGACGTGCGAAGGGTCACCTGCTAATGTGTTTACTTTGCACAATACCAGGAACTCTGGGCCTTGTGTATACCAGGGGAGTGTTTCACAAAGATTATAAGATCGACTTTAAGTTGGACTGAACTGTGGCAGGCTGTTCATGCCACTGTTTGCTCTCACCGTTTACTGGCATTGGTCTTTCAAGGGACGTACAAATCATGGTTCCAAATCTACAGAATTTACATTCTTTGATACTTCATTATTGAAGGAAAACATATATCTAAAGATCATAATGGTGAGAGCAACTATAGTGGCATGAACAGCCTGCCATAGTTAAGTCCATCTACTGAAAAAAAAATGATCTTAATCTTTGTAAAATACTTCCCAGGTGGTGATGCGTGCGCAGCTAAGAACATTACTGCAGAACGTCCTCAAGCATCATATCATAAAAAAGGGACAGAGAAATATAAAAACATACTTCCTTAACCCACGGTTGATAGGCCTATTATTAAGAGGATATTTCTATTAATAACCCGGTATAACCATGCCAAGAATATCATGTCGTGAGACTTGCCTCGTACCGGAGATTATGCTAATAACTGTGTTGGTTACTGCAAGGCCATCAGCACTGCCAACACCGTCATAATCACTACAACATGGTTACCGTCTAAAGGTTCAAATTGGCAATTTTTTTCCGGGGGAGGGGCGGCGGCTAGGGCGGCTATGGATGAAGTATCCACCAAGGCATTGAAACCGGGAAAGAGTTAACAAACACAGCTGAAATATATCATGTTCTCTCAAAGATTTAAAACATGTGCTTTTATGAAACGCATTCAGAAAGCGGGATTTAATTTTGTTACATTTTCTTCAAATACAAACAAAGTAATTGCCATATCCCCTCGAACTGGTCAATGTGTCTTAAGGGGATCTTAACACTTCGAGTTCGTGATTTGTCATTAATCAGTTATAATGTTAAAGCATGTTCGTTTTAAGGGAGAATACGCTGAGAGAGAAGGAAAGATAATAGTAACGGGGAAAATTATATAACAATCTGAGCCGGGAGACATGAAACCTCCTAACCATACTTTCAGGGGTATCTACTTCTTTTCTAAGATTTGATTTCAGTTTGTAGATTTTTTAATTGTGCATGAATCTATCAAACTGTGCTGAAAAATAGAATACAGATAGAAACAAATAACGTTTGGGGGTATATGTGTGCTTGGTTTTTCAATATCTGCTAGGCCAGTGCTAGGTCAAGGGAGCTGATTTAGCATGTAAACCGAGCAATTCGTTTTCCGACTATAGTGGATGCAGGGATCTCCCTGGTGGATTTTATCTTCATAGATTTCCCCAAACTACATCTTGAATATACGCATGCGCGACACATTACCGGCACAATCAATTTATTGAATTACACGAGTTGGCGTCAAATATAGGTTATTCCAAATATAAATCTTTAATTCAATTTTGGCAACTTTAAATGACGACTGGGAAACTTTTGGCCGGCTGCTCGACACCTTGGCAAAATCGAGGTGGAGAGAGCTTATTCAGACTTTCTGAACTCTGGCAACTTGCCCTGAAAATAATAAAAGGGGAAATATCAGAACAAAATAATTAATTTCTCATTAGGCTATAAGCACAAGAGGGGGTGAGTGTGAGTGCGTGATTGTGAGTGCGTGAGTGACCGCGCGTGTGTTTGTGTGTAAGGGGGAGCATCCCTACTGAAATTGTTGTTTACTAGTCGATGCAAAGAATTACAAGGAAAATCAAAAGGAAATGATAGGAATGGTAAGCTGTTAAGAAGAAATACAATTAGAATGTAAGAATTTGTGATTAAATGAGATATGACCATAGGTCTTAAAGCCAACAACAAAAAACAGCAGTGGTGTAATATTTAAGAGCCTGTCGATTTTTTTTTTATTTGGAATGTGGGGGGATTTCTCTCCGTTTGCTTCAAAGAGTTTTTGCGAACGTCTGAAAGATTGCATGGAAAGGGTGAAGATTATAGAAGCACGGTTACTTGTATTGTAACAGGATAGCTCTATTCTTGTAGACCTATGTCGGGAAAACCTTAAGTCTTCTTACCACCTTTGAGCGTTTTATCCTGTCTGCCTAACCTTTTTTTGGTAATGTGTATTTCACATCATTTTGTTGGTACTTCAGAGTATTATTATTTTGATATATGCATAAATATTGAATACAAAAGAGAAGATCATCAAAAACAAGAACATTCTATATAATAACTATAAATTTACAATGCGATCGCCTAATGTTACGCCTTTTACCCTTGTCGGCCTAACGTTCCAGTGAAAACGCCCCCCCCCCCCCAGCTTATGAAATTAGACTTGCGATGCCACTGGAGATGTGCGTGTCATACCGAAAGTTAACGCTAAAGTTGTCGTTCTGTTTTGAACCGATGAAAACAGAGGATGCTAAATTTAGGAGTGACCCGGTTTCACTTTCGAAATCTGCCTAGTGATTCACCTCAGGATTTTTCACGGTTTACAGAAGGGCTATACACTTGGGGGGGGGGGGGGGAAATGCATGCCTGGCCTCAGCTTTACCTTACATAAATGGATTTGAATGTATGAAACAGCAACAACAACAAATGTTTAGTAAGCATGGATAGACTGATATTAACATAGGAATATGGGAATATATGATTCTAATCACCTTTAGGGAAACTGAAAACGTACGTAAAAGGTTATCAAGGTATCATTTTATCAAGGTAAACCGATTTTTTGAATGGTTATTTTACTTTCCTTACCTAAGTCATGTATAGATTTAATGTCCTCTAGGCTCTAAATATACGGTTTGCTTGTAGATAATAATAATAATAATAATAATAATAATAATAATAATAATTAATGTATTAATCATATTTACCCACGGTAGCGGCGCTCACTATTATATTTTAAGAAATAATACGAGAGAGAGAGGGAGAGAGAGAGAGAGAAAAGAGGGAGAGAGAGAACGATCGGATATACCTTAAATCTATTATCTGCATCTACCAGTCTAATCAACACTCAGTTTAGGGAACAAAAATAAAACCTAGAGTTCAAACAACTGTCAATACTCTGCAATAGAACTTAAACTTGAATACCCAGGGCCGTTTCCATTGGTTTTAGTTTGTGGATGTTTCGTTTTCTTCATTTCATATTTTTGCTTCTTTGCTTGTTGGTTACTGCGATTATTTTGTGTTTTGTTTGTTCATTTTGCTTTCATTTCGAATATTTTGGGTTCAATAATTTCAGGAAACAGCAATCGTCAAAATTGTTCTTTAAATAGACAGTACAACGTGTGAATAAACAATAGACGATGAATATTGCAAAGCTCTATACCCAATCCCATATTAGCTTTAACTGAAGACTTTCAGATTACCAGTAACATACCATTTGAAAAGGCAAACTAAACGAAAGATTTTGATGCGAGGAAGCACAAACTGTTCCATAAACAATTATTTAGAACCGTGTGAACAACGAAACAACACGCAACGCACACGCATACGCACACAAAATATCAGAGTGACACATGTTTCTTATTAAATCGTAGTGTGTGGTAAGAATGACTTTTCGTAGTTATTTTTTAGAAATGGATCAGTAAAGTTTCGGGGGCAAAGAGTCCCTGAATCATTTCAGCATGCATGTTAAATATACATTCCCAAGCAGAATATGGGTAGTCCACCATACTCCAATTATAGGGTTCCTCTTCATCTACTGATTATTGAGTGTTTGCCAACTTTCTTCTAATGTACATGATCCCAATAATAAAAGCTTCGACCTAATGGCCTCAATCATTTGTCACTCCTAAGTGTTTATTAGGGCTCACTATTCTCCGAATTATAATATTAACTATGTATCCTGACTATGCGTTAGTTATTTATTAGTTTATTTATTTATTATCTATTCATTTATTCATTCTTTTTCCACTTGTGGCAAGAAATACTCCACAGACCAATCAAAAAAGGTTTGGGCAAAATCGGATAATTAATGAGAAAGTTATGAACTTTTGAAAAAAATATGTAAAACAATGGAAATCACTACACAAATTGCCAATTTGGTTATTAGTTTGTGACCTCATGTCCTCACTAATTATCAGTTGCTTTATATTTTTTAATTCAAATAAAAAACTGTTTTATTGTGGTTTACCGCGTCATATCTGAACGGACCTTCCAAAAATTTTAGTTGACAGTGTGTACGGTCCCCTGCGAGCCCCCTGGACTATTAATCTCCCGATGCATGACGGGAAGTGAAAAACTTTCTCTACGGAACCACAGCACAGACGTCATCCTTCCTGGTTACAGGTTACAGCTTTAGAATCATTTTGGGGTTCAGCAAAATGTCTTAAAGAGAAGGTTGACAAGATGAATAAATTATTAGCAAGCATTCTGATTTGCATTAACATATGGGGCAGAAAATCAGAAAAGAAAATTCGCAGGAAAATGATGTATGGTGAAAAGCCTGAATATTTGAGATATTTCGGGAAATGGTTATCGAACTTGGACCAAACATAACCGCATGTGTTTTAGTCCCATATTACCATATCCCTGTGCTGTGTTCTTTTCCTTAGTAAATGACTTATTTCCAGCAAGCAGTTTCTTAGTATTTTTGCATGATTCAAAGACCTTACGATGAAGTAATTCTTCTTTAAACAACATCATGATCAGCCTCTGTCTTCAAAATAACTATTGAAAGGACTTGATTCTTTTACAAAAAGAGTCCATGACAATTGACTCGACTTAAAGTTAAAGTGACTATAAATATCAAGTCGTTAAAAAACAAATCTTTATGCCGGAATAAAAGTTCTTTCAATTTGCGTATTGCTTCATCTGAGGCTCTTTCCCTCTCATAATAATAAAACGCTTTTGTTGCATTTCAGTTGAAGTCCCTCTTCAATAGACTAACAACATAATTGCCAAACGCGCGGGGGGGGGGGGGGGGTCTTATCCATACAACTTACAAGGGGATGCTTGGTGTTTCATATTTGGGCAGCCTCGATTTTGTTAACTTATTCTCGTAGATGGCGGCAGAGCCATAACGAAAGAGAATGACATTGGCACGTATGATATTTTGGGTTTAGTATTTTACTATAGATATGGGGTCATTGACATACCAGATTAGATTTAAGGTCAGGTTTTTGCATAGACTTTGGGTTAGTCTTGGCACATCGTAGAAGTTAGGAGGTCGATTGGTTTTAAAAACTAATTGCAGCAAAGTTATTCTCCTCTGATCCTATGTCATACAATCCAAATTATTTAATTGATATGCCAAACTAAATAAAACAATAATGATTGGATATTCAAGATGGAGTTATCATAGAACTCCATTGATCTCCTATATTTGGATCTCTCTATATATACAATGATACATGGATTGTTGAAACCAAACGCAAAAAAACGCATCATGAAAATGTTCACAATAAAATTTTAGAATGACAATGGCCATAATATAACCTTAAAATGACAATGGTCACAATATAACCTTAAAACGGGGTCATCTCTAGATCAAACGGTTGACACAGAAATCGACCTGGTTGTTATAGCAACCTATGGATAAACAATGAAACTGGAAAGGGCAGGTTCCGAATCCTGTAGGCTTTACTCATATCTGTAACCGAATATACGTCAAAATAACAGAAACAATTCGTTTATCTTTCGTTCATCTGAAGTCGGGTTTCCGCTTGATGTAGGTCTATCCTTAAACCAAATTATCAGAGGTTAGGATAAGAGAAGGAACCCGAACTAGTTTACAGCTTTCCCGGATTGTTATGGACAGGATTATTGAACATTTGAAGAAAAAGAGAAGAAAAACAATTGAAATAAACATGTGACCTAGATCTGAGCCTGGAGAAGAATTATTTCGCAATGTTTCAAACTTTCAATCAATGAATTGGTGGTATTTAGACCCGCATTATAAGCTTTTATCCGGAAGAACTTTAAGATGTGATAGCAAAGGCTTTCGAGACTACCAACTCCAAGTCAATTGCAGTAGAGCCTACGTATACTGGAATATGACTAAGGGAATTGCGTTAGGTTGATTTGTTGAAGGTTTTTGCCATCCTAAGATTTGTAATCATCGATATTTTATTATTATTATCATTAATATTAGTGTTATTTTTAAAATATTATTATCACTATTATTATTATCATTATAAACATTGTTATCATTATTGTTGATATTATTTTTTGTATAACTATTATCATTTTTATTAAGTTTTGTTATTATAATTATTTGTATCATTCTGGTTGATGTTATTGTTTTAAAACTAAGGCTACTGTATAATTATATCAATGTTCAATAAGTATACATTTACATCTGTTTGAAATTTGTGATCGACAATGTCTTGTAATTATTGCACTGCGAAGTGTTCAGTTCAGTAGGGCCATAACTTAAATTCAATTCTCTGCCTTATCTTCCTTTTATTACCCCCTCCCTCTCTTCCACGTCCAATAATACTCCCCTCTCCTCCTCTCCCCCTCTTCCCCCTCTTCCCCCTCTCCCCCTCCCTCCCTCCCTCCCCGTCGCCGCCTCCCCAACCCAGGTTCAACGCAGAACGGTTACCATGGATGGACGCGCACCGCCGGTGTAACATGGTCCAGGAATATGGTCCAAATGGACAGGTCTACCGCGCGGACCTGGTCACCATCGAGAGTCCCATGGAGGACAAGTTCGTCTACAACTGGCTCTATAAGACGGGAGCGTCTCAGAACAAAGTCTGGATCGGATTGGTTGAGAAGACTCAGAACATGTAAGAAATGTATTTTATTTCATAATAGTATTCATTCGTTTGGATTTTGGCCATTATCTCTCCCCTTCTTTTCTTTCTTTATTTCTCCTCTCTCTCCCTCTCTCTCTCTCTCCTTCTCTCTCCCTCTCTCTCCCTCTCTCTCTCTCTCTGCCTTTATTTCCACCTCTCCTCTCTCTGTCCCCTCTCCCCCTTTCTCCTCTCTCTCCGAAGTCTCTCTCTCTCTCTCTCTCTCTCTCCCCCCTCTCTTTTTCTCCCCTCATAATTATGTTGGGTCCATCATCGACATCCCATTACCATTTTGTCACTACTCTGCAGGTATGGTCAACAGGGGGTCCTATTACCAAATAGTCGTTTGTGAAAATATGTCTTTTGTGTAATGTTATATCACTGATTTAGGTGATAGCGGAAAACAATACTACATCCGCTATATATATATATATATAGTTATTGTAATACGATCCACCCTCATACTCTCATTTTCTATTTTCTTCAACCTATATGATTCCACTTTTTCTTCTCCATTTTTACAATTAATTAATAAGATTGACGTTAATTTGCATAATCATGATTTTGATATTCTCTCATTTTTTTTCATTACACTCCTCTTCCTTTCTCCTTATTTCTCCTTCCAATTCTTCTTTTAATCCTAAATCTTATTCCTCTTACTTTCTTTCTTGTCCTTAAGTTCATTTAAACAATCTTGGGATTATATTCAAGGTACATGTCCCTTAACATGATAAGCAGTAAGGTCCGAACACAAACTAAAATTACAAATTGCTTGTATATATATATATATATATTTTTTTTTTAGGTATCAGTGGATTGATCATACTCCTGTGGCGTACACCAACTGGAAGGTAGATCAACCCCAGTTAAACTGGCACCGACAAGCCGCCCACATCTTCAACGGTCGTGAGCTCCAAACCTGGGTCACATCGAACTGGAGAACCCCCATGTCCTACGTCTGCAAACTCCGATTCGGACCTCCTTATCGGGGACCGGGCGTTTCGATTCCACCCGGCAACCCGAACCAACCGGGTGGTCCGAATCAACCCACCAGGCCCTTGTACCCGAATCGACCAAACACACCTATTGTGCCAAACAACAGGCCATACAACCCGAATCGGCCAAATAATCCCAACAGGCCATACAACCCGAATCAGCCAAATAATCCTAACCGACCTATGAATCCGAATCAGCCATACAACCCTAACCAGCCTAACAACCCGAACCGACCCGTAAATCCAAACTTCCCAAACAACCCTAACCAGCCTTACAACCCGAACCGACCAGTGAATCCAAACTTCCCAAACAACCCTAACCAGCCTAACAACCCGAACCGACCCGTGAATCCAAACTTCCCAAACAACCCTAACCAGCCTAACAACCCAAACCGACCCGTGAATCCAAACTTCCCAAACAACCCTAACCAGCCTAACAACCCGAACCGACCCGTGAATCCAAACTTCCCAAACAACCCTAACCAGCCTAACAACCCAAACCGACCCGTGAATCCAAACTTCCCAAACAACCCTAACCAGCCTAACAACCCAAACCGACCCGTGAATCCAAACTTCCCAAACAACCCTAACCAGCCTAACAACCCAAACCGACCCGTGAATCCAAACTTCCCAAACAACCCTAACCAGCCTAACAACCCAAACCGACCCGTGAATCCAAACTTCCCAAACAACCCTAACCAGCCTAACAACCCGAACCGACCCGTGAATCCAAACTTCCCAAACAACCCTAACCAGCCTAACAACCCAAACCGACCCATGAATCCAAATCAGCCAAACAACCCGAACCAGCCTAACAATCCGAACCGACCCGTGAATCCAAACTTCCCAAACAACCCTAACCAGCCTAACAACCCGAACCGACCCGTGAATCCAAACTTCCCAAACAACCCTAACCAGCCTAACAACCCAAACCGACCTATGAATCCAAATCAGCCAAACAACCCGAACCAGCCTAACAATCCGAACCGACCCGTGAATCCAAACTTCCCAAACAACCCTAACCAGCCTAACAATCCGAACCGACCCGTGAATCCAAACTTCCCAAACAACCCTAACCAGCCTAACAATCCGAACCGACCCGTGAATCCAAACTTCCCAAACAACCCGAACCAGCCTAACAACCCGAACCGACCCGTGAATCCAAACTTCCCAAACAACCCTAACCAGCCTAACAACCCGAATCGACCCGTGAATCCAAACTTCCCAAACAACCCGAACCAGCCGAACCGACCCCAGAACCCTAATTGGCCTAACCAACCAAACCAACCCCAGAACCCTAACCAACCGAACAGACCCCAGAACCCGAATTGGCCTAACCAACCGAACCAACCCCAGAACCCTAACCAACCGAACAGACCCCAGAACCCTAATTGGCCTAACCAACCGAACCAACCCCAGAACCCAAATAATCCCAACCAGCCTCCATTCAGGGGTTAAACGGACTACAACATCTTTGTCTAGCCTACATGTCCAAGTGAAAGGGGAAGTCATTATGCAGTGACATTTTAATATTTAACGCTAGTCATTTATCGATCTGTAGGCCTGAAACCTATTTTCTGTTATTGAAGTCACAACACGAAAACGCTTTCTTTAATGTGATGAATTAAGAAACCGGTTCGAAAGGCAAAAAGGGTGCGTTTATTGAATCAAAGATGATTGCACCCCCACCATATATCCGTACCCTATTCCCCCTCCCCATCAGTTTCCTAGCATTTCAAACCCTCTTGTAAGACTGTTGCGCCCCCGGCCGCACCCGTAAACTGAACCACCTGAACTCAAAGCAGCACGCGGGCTACGCCACTGTGTTAGGCCATGCCGAATCAAATCAGTATCTGTTTTATGTTAGTCTATAAAGAAACAGATGTCGAAATCGGGGACATAAGACTTTGTAATTAGCGGAAATTGCAGAACAAAATAACTTCAGAAGAGGGCATTTCATATAGAAATGAACACTAATGCACTTATGTACTCGTGGAAATAAAGGTCTTCCACTCTTTCCCTTTTCCCCTTCTGAATCTTGGTTTTGTTGAGAGTTGCGCCCTCAAGCTATTCAATCATGTCAATAGCTTGGAAAATTCAAATTTTGTTTCCCCTAAGACACCTCCCTTCCCGCGTCCAATCGCCCTTTTAAATGGTTGTTCTTACACTACGCCGATGTGTTTATGTATATAGTGTATGTGTTTTTGTTTTTTCACCTAGCAATGTGATGTGATTTTGGATGTTTTACCGTAATAATGTATAGTTCTTGTTTTTCAGTTGATAGACTTTTAAAAGAGTCAGCACACACTTTTCGAAAAGCTTTGTAATAAATATTTAATTTTTATTAAAATAATACACTTTTTGTTACTTTTAAATTCTCTAAAAAAATTAGATTTTTTTAATTTCAGGAAGATCATTATTGTATAAAACTCAGACTTTTTTTATCAGTATGAAGAACGAAATACGATTCCGAACTAGCGGCGATTGATGTAATTGCCATTATCATGAATATTACTGTACAGCTTTTCAACGATTTTATGGAATTATGTTTCACTACATTGTATTAAACTGAATTTGATGAAATTCAATTAATCATGTACATTTTTGTGATTCTTGCATTCTTAGTTGATGGTTAAAATCTAGGTAACCTACCAATTAAAACCGAACAAAATGCCTGATACAAAACGAAATTGAAGAGCATATCGTTACAAATACAGTTTAGAAAAGTTAGGAGGAAAGAATGTGGAATATTTTACATTTCAGTGAAGGAAACAAAGGTAAATCAATAAAACAAGCTTAAAGATATAGACCGGTAGTGGTAAAATTGCTGTTCAAGGGTTCTTGATGCAAACAATCCATTTAATATGGTTTAAATATCGCCTTCAGAGGTTTAGATGGTAATACTTAAACCTAAATTCGCAAAAGACAGAAATATATGCCCAAATGCATTTGCGATATCTATCCAGGCCTGATCGATATGATAATTTACCAAATATATCAATTAGAAAGCGGTTTCCCGGCAAAATTTGTGTCATCACGAATTAGTCAAAATATATTCTTTCACACGATTGGTTATCAGAGCTTCCATTTCATTTTTTTAGAGGGGGGGGGGGCGTATCCAAAACTGGTCTATACCTTTAAGCCAAGAAAACTACAAAATATAGCTTTTATCGTGATATGTGATTACGGGAGGAGAAATGGGCATTGAAAGCACCGCAGTATCCGTCTAGTATATTTGACATAATTTAATCATTCGTTTCTTCAATATCTTATCGTACTTATATTTTTAAAGAGGTGTGACGATTTGTGCTAAAGAGTTGAAGACTGTAAGAGAGGCATAACATGATCGAGAGACAGGGAAATGTAGAGAGAGAGAGAATAAAGAAAAGGAGGCATAGAGAGAAAGACTAAGAGAGAGAGAGAGAGAGAGAGAGAGAGAGAGAGAGTGAAAGAGAGAGAGAGAGAAAGAGAGAGAGAAAGAAAGAGGGCGGGTTGTCACATTTGCAGGCCAAAAAGTGCAAGGTTAAATTCCAACGGCATTTGAAAGACAATACTCATTTAGAACTTCTCTACAAACGAAAGGGCTTGGCAATGGCTTTTAATGGGAAAATAACGACCATTAGTTGTAGAATCCACTTAAGTGATTGCAATCACCAAAGTAATAGTCTGATTTTCAGACCCTTTAACAGAATGGTCGTACGTTTTGTGCTGCACAAGGATTCAATCAGTTTTATTTTGGCCATCACAAGTAGTGGGTTATTGATGTAGACAAATGCTCATGTATACCTGTTAAGGCTCATGCTATGTATGTTATTACCAAAGAAAAAAAAATGTCAGTCAGTCACTCAATAGTGTCTGACAGTGAAGTCTAGAAGGTAAACGGGTTTCCTTGCATAATTTGAATACTATGACACTGCCAATGTTTAAATGTCACAGATAGGACATACATGACATATTAATATTCCTGCAAAGTTCTACAGAATTTGACGTTGGCTGCAAAAGGGAATTCAAATAGTATCTTTAAAGAATGAGAAATACGTGTGACAGAAAGTGAGATATAAAGCATAGGTCTAAATAATAAATCAATGCACGATGATTATGGTAGACGACCCCTCCTAGACACCCCCCCCCCCCCCCCACCGTCCACTCCCTCCACCCCATCCAAGACAATACTACAAGACAACTCGACCCTTTGGCAGCTACCCCTGACGGAAAATTAATCCGGGACAACTCCAACACACCAGCATAACCACTGCGACTATGCTCATCATCCCAGAAAACTATACTCCTGTAAAATATTAACCCAATCACCCTCCACTAATTAGCTAAAGGCAACTATAGGGTTAACTTTCCAAGTGATAAGAGAGAGAGAGAGAGAGAGAGAGAGAGAGAGAGAGAGAGAGAGCGAGAGAGAGAGAAAGAGAGAGAGAGAGAGAGAGAGAGAGCGCGCGCGCAAAAGAGAACAATACCAAACACCCGTTTCACAAAGATCCCAAGTTGAACCTATCTCTAAGTTGGACTTAAAAGTTATGGAAAGCCATTAGCATCCTTGAAAATATTTTGTAAAAGTTATTTTAAAAGGCATAAAATGTTGATTCAAATCATTCATATTTTCTATTATCATGAAAGATTTCATGTTCTTGATGTGGAATGTATGAAAAGTCTAAAACACTTTAATTTTTTATTTTTAATATATTTCATTTTAAGGCTACAAATGGCTCTCCATAATATGTAAGTCCAACTTAGAGTTAAGTTTGACTTAGAATCTTTGTGAAACACACCACTGGATGTACAAGTAAAAGGCAATGACAAATGAAGTGCTGTAATGCCATTTTAATTGCTGATATTCGCTGAAAAGTCTTTGAAATATATAAAATACACAGGTATAAAGGTATAATATATAAAATACACAGGTATAAAGGTATAATATATAAAATACACAGGTATAAAGGTATAATATATAAAATACACGGGTATAAAGGCATAATATATAAAATACACAGGTATTTAGGTATAATATATAAAATACACAGGTATTTAGGTATTATATAAAATACCAGGTATATTGAAAATCGTCATATACTACTATGATGCAGGCATATTATTAAACATATCAATACAAAATGCTTTTTTGCGGGTGTAATACAACTGCAGAACCTATAAACCATAACACTTCCTAAATTCTAAGAAAGGGAGGGGGAGAGAAAGGGGGGGGGGAGGGGGAGGGGTCATTTTTTAATCAATATTACGTTTCAATGTTTCTACCTGCATTATGATTTTAATACAAATAAATGTACATATTATAAAAATAACGAGAGAGACTTAAGAAAATAGATTGGTTTTCATTCCTTAAAACAATTATACTTGAATAAAAAGTATATACACAAACTAAATTTGTATAAATCAAATGCAGAATTGGGTAAGCAGAATAATTCTACAATATTTTCATTCACAATATCTATAAAAATATATCTTGTTATCCAGAAACATATTTCATTTCTAAATTGGCAAGAAAGAAGTGATTTAACACATGTTTGAATTACAGATAGAATGTGATAGTAATCACCATATTTACAATAACTTCACGGTGAAAATTCATTTATCAAAGCTGACCCGAAACTTGTTGGCCCGCAAGAATTTGTTTTTCTTTCTGAAATTTGAAGAAATAAACCCATAACTGCCTGAAGGATTAGAAAGCAATGCTGAAATGAATTTATACAGAAGCATGTTTCTCATATTTCCCCCTTTCTAGCAGTATCTGGGAGTGTTTCACAAAGACCAAGATCGACTTTAAGTTGGAATTAACTATGGCAGGTCATTCATGCGATTTAACTCTCACCATTTACTGGCATTGGTCTCTCAAGGGACGCACAAATCGTGGTGACAAATCTACAAAATTTAGATCATTCATTATTGAAGGATAACATTATCTATGACTAAAGGTCATAATGGTGAGAGAAAACAGTGGCATGAACCCGCCCCTCTCCTCCCTCCACTCAGTGTTATTTAGGGTACGCATATGCTTGTTTCCTCTTTTTGAAAGCACCCCCTATCTGAGGACTGCCAACATTTCCGAATCCCCCTTTCCCGGGCTTTTCGCAGGCTTTTCCTACCTTGGAGACCCCCTAAATCATGAAAAATGCTCAATGTACCCCCCTAAATTCGGAATCATTTTTCAGGAGTCCTAAGAGATGAGAGAAAAAAAGAAAAAACACCCCCTTTTTAAAGAAATCTCTGGGTGAAAAGATAATACACCCCTTTTTTTACAATTCTCGGGCCGGACTTTGTCGAACGAAAAGTACCCCTTTACCTGACATTTTGGTAACACGCATGGGGTCCGTCCATTCTCGTAGTGGGGGGGGGGGGGGGGCAGGGGCATAAACAGCCTAACATAGTTAAGTCCAACTTTAAGTCAATCTTAGTCTTTGTGAAACACCCACTTGATTACACATGTCCTCATTGATTTCTGAGAAAGCATACAGTATTTTTCATATTTCGCATATATGAAAGGTATATAGTATCTATAACAATAAAGTAAACACACAATTTCTTCCATACAATCATTAACATGCACACTATTACAACATTAACGTTTTGTTATACAATCAAATATGTACTTCACATAAAAATGTCTTCTATATGTACATGTAAATATAATGCTGATTCTATATCTTCATTTCAAAATTTCATGATTTTCTTATTTAGGTTATCATCACAATACAAAAAATTACTCCATAATTAGGAGAATATAGCAAAATTTGGCGGGTGCTTTTGGTGTCGTTTATGGCATAAATATAATACTTCTAGTTTATTATTCTTATCATACTTTGAAATACAGCAATGCAAGAAATATAATGCAAGAAATATAAAGCAGTATTTAACATCTGAAAAAAGACATGGCTAAATCGTCAACGAAATCATTAATTAATTAAACAGAAAAAGTAAAAAACAGAACTAACAAACAAAAAAGTAAATACATGGGTACATCACAAGTAAATAAAAATATCATTATTAATATATAATTTCTCTTCCGGCATTTATATAAACAATACTTAATAACCAAAAAGGTAGGAAAAAACATGATCATGATACATTATCATAACAACAAAAAACGATAATATTAAAAAATAACACTATTCAAATAAAAAATAAAAACGATTGTAGCTTTACAATATTTTGATCTCCAAAACAAGGAGAATAATTAGCATTAATGAGCACCACAGTTTCGTACAAATTCGGTGGATAATTTCAGTGGTGGTACATATAATTGATTGGATGATACACATACATACAAATGTAATTGTTGACCAAAATATTTTGTGGGTATCATGATAAGAGAAAAAATACATGATCCTTCACAAATAAATAAAAGTATCATGATCAACATAGAATTTCTTTCTTGGCATTTTTCATGTACAATATAATATTCAATAACCAAATAGCAGAAGAAGAAAATAGAAAATGGTTCTGTCCGTAATGAAACACACACACACGGACAAACAAAAAAAGTTCACTTTTCAAAAAGAGAGAAGATACAAATATTCATAGCTTAATAATACCTTTTTGGGTCTTATTCAAGGAGAATAATCACAGGAATATCATGAATTTAGCACAACAGTTTCGTACAAATCTGGTGGATAATTTTAATGGTGGTACACATAATTGTATGGTAATATATAAAAATTACGCAATTACATATTTCTGTATGTACAAATGTATGTATCTGATGGAGGTCGAATATATAAACATGTCTCGTGTATTTGAATTACCTTGAATAATATCTCGTAAAACAGAAAAAATGGAGTGAAAATGAAATTTTAAAATGCTGTAAATAAAGAAGAATGCTGAATATATAAAAAGTTCTTTTGTACAGTAAACTCAAGCATACATGTATATATAATCAAGATTATGCAGGCAGTAGGTGGTTACATTTTAGCACATTTTAACAGAATTCATTACGATTTTCAATTGTCTAATTTCAGAAACAATATAATGCAGTCAGAGAATTCTAGCCTTCACCAGCTAATAGACCAGCTCTGGTCATTCGATTGCATTGTGAAAGAAACGTTGTGGAATCGATCAGAAAACATTGTGGAATCGATCATCTAGCATATGTACTGCAAGGTCCTGGAATCACAGAAAGATGTATATGGGACTACGCGATATCTATCCAGTCCAGATAGATATACTAATTTACCAAATATAACAATTAGTAGGCGGTTTTCCCGCAATATTTGTATCATCACATATTAGTCAAAACATATTTTTTCACATGATTGGTAATAAGAGCTTCCATTTCATTTTTTGAGAGGGGGTCGTTTCCAAAAGTGGTCTATACCTTTAACTGTTGGCACTTTGAATGGCATAGATTTTGCTCTTTAGGCCTGTCTTCATCAGCTTGAGTTTGCCAAATAACCTGCTATTTTCAGGGTCAGGATATTATCCCGAAGCTCGAAATTGCATTTTCACCAGATCGATATGCTCATCACAAACTAGCTCGGATGGGCACAAATTAGCCTGCTATTTCTCAAATAGCGGATATTTTGGAAACAAGATCAAGATTTCTCAGGATATTTTCTCATCAAGGCGCTTCAAAAAGACATATGCATTAAATTTGGTTACATTACGAAAAGGGCATTTTATTCAAATACAATATTTCCATTAAAAAAACAATAAAAAAAGCACATACAAATATATATACTGTTAAACAAAGACTCTTTGGTGTCAGGAAACTTTCAGTTTGTAAATATTCATGATTTTCATGGTAAGATTTTTTTTTTGGCGAATTACAGAAACTCAGTGTCGTGTCAGTTGTCATTTGATTGTTTCACGGCATATGAACTGTCACCAAATTGGACCACTCGCTGAATTCACAAACATCTCATCCACATGAAAGTTTCTGGTTTAATCAATGATGTTGAAATAAGTATAATCATGCAGGGGGTGTTTCACAAAGATTCTACGTTGAACTTAACTCTAAGTTGAACTTCAAAGTTATGGAGAGCCTTTTGTGGCCTTAAGATAAAATATTTCCAAAAGCAAAAATTGAAGTATTGTAGACTTTAAATGAATTCCACATCAAGAAAATGAAATCTCCCAAGATAATAGAAATATGAATGATTTGAATCAACATTTTATGCCTTTTAGAATAATTTTTACAAAATATTTTCAATGATGCTAATGGCTGTCCATAATTGTTAAGTCAAACTTAGAGATAAGTTCAACTTAGGATCCTTGTGAAACACCCCCCAGGACCAATAGTGAATATGACCAACCAGGGCCAAATTTCATAAAATCAATTACAAGTTACGCTAATTGATATTAAGTACTGAAATAAGTGTATTTAGAATGATATGTGTGTGTGTGGTGGTTATTTTACCTGACTGCGAATGCTAAAATCTAAGATGTGGTCTGTGGCATACCGACAAAATACTTCGGCGAGGCGTCAAAAATAAATATACCAGCCAGCGGCAGCTAACTGCACTTGTGCGTCCTGGCTGCATTTTTTAAATTAGCTCAGCCGGCTACCGCTGGCGGTAGGAAATGGCATTCAAAAGCATGCGCCGGCTGCCGCCTTTCGAATGGAAACCGAGCCTCAGATCCCAGCCTGGCGCAATCCGGCTGGGCTAATAAGTGAAAAATAATTGCCCCAGCCAGGCTTCGGCCGTAATTGCAGCCTCGATGCGCCAATACGTGAGGCGGCAGCCTGCTGGTATCGATATTTTTGACGCCTCGCCTTACATTCTGCATACTTGCTCCTCCTTCAGTAAGTCTGGAGTTTGGTAGCATCTTTGTACGTCGCCGCGAACCTCATATTGATGTAGGCCAAGCCTGTGGTCGGCGAGTACTTGTTGGAATGGTCGATGCACTCGATGACCGCTTCGTTGTCGGGATGGCCGAAAAACGCCATCGACTGGCGATCCTGCTGTCTCTTGATTTGATCCAGTGGAATCATCACTCGGTGTTTCTGGTAACGGTCAAGTAAAAAAAAATGGAAGGAAGGCTGGATTTAAAGGATAAAGGGGGGGGGGGGCTATACAAATTTGACTGTGTATTACGATCAGCTGCATTACAATCCATTACAATGTCTGAGTTTTTAATTCCTTACTCTTTTCTTACGAGCATAAATTTAATCTGCTCACAAACCCCTGGGGGGTGTTTCACAAATATCTTAAGTTGAACTTATCTCTAAGTTGGACTTACAAATTATGGAAAGCCGTTAGCATATGAAAATATTTTGTAAAAGTTATTTTGAAAGGCATAAAATGTTGATTCAAATCATTCACATTTTCTATCATCAAGGAGATTTAATATTCTGGATGTGGAATTTATAAAAAATTTAAAATACTTGAATTTCTGCTTTTATACATTTTAATTAAGGCTCCAATGGCTGTCCATAATTTTTAAGTCCAACTTAGTGTTACTGTTAAGTTCTCCTTAAGATCTATGTGAAACACCCCCCCAGGACTAAAGATAATGATAATGGTCTTTCCCTTTAACAGTGTGTTATATAGAAAACCATTGAACCATCAAGTCTAGACTATTCTATTCGAGTATGCATTATACAATGAGGGTCCACAGTTTATAAGCTCATAAATGTTGTGACTCACGTCAATATTTACAAAGAGTAATCAACTAGGTGGATAGCTCATGCACAGTACAAAAGACCAGTGTCATCATTAGCTCGTAAGCTTTCGACGGTGTGTACTTGATTGATTGAGAGAGCATATAGCTCTCATTACTTTCTTCCAATATGTACAAGGCAAGTTAACAGTATGTCATGCATAATTCAGAGATGCCAGTTAGAATTGATCAGAGGGCCTGAAAATCACCTAGAATGAGCTATTTTGTACACAGAAAAAGCCTAAACTATGGTCTGAAAATAACTAATTATCAAATATTACTAAATGTTCATACACCCTGCTCTTGCCACTATCCTTGATTATTTTACCACTATACCCACAACTGCAATATTGTAACATGACGAACTGTTGTATAATTTACCTTAGTCCATATTATGTTGGCATGTAATTATGTTTATACCCTTTTTCTTTTTTCTTTGGTAGAAATTATGTTCATTAAGTGTTTTTTAATTGTTTATGGTATTTAGGCAGAAGTAACGTGACATGTTTAAACAATTTTTAACTAAATGTTATGTAAGTTTTTTACAATGTATATATCCAATTCATGTAATTCATGTGCAATTCAGTTGTGAAACTGCCATTCATGAAAGATGCAATAAAATACCATTTATCTATCTATCTATCTATCCAACTTAACAGGGCCTGATTTAGCTATTGCCTGAAAACTGGCATCCCTGATAATGTCATGTTTACATCAAGGAAACAGAGTACATACATATAAGCTAGTAATACAAAAAAAAACAAAGAAATGAAGAAAGAGGGTGTCCCCCAAAAATCCTCAATGGCTTGTAAGGAGGGGATCACCAGAGCAACAACAACAACAACAAAAAAAAATAAAAAAATAAAAAGAATAGTTGTATACAAATAAACAATGATAATGACAACCGGAGGGGATGTGGTCGTTGCGACCCCACACTCCAGCACTCTACAAAGCTGAGTGGCAAGATAATTGACATTATTTAATTGGATTATTTAGAGAGAAGGAATCTTTTCATTCGTTTTTTTAAATAGTGCATTGAATTGTGTTTGTTGAATGTCAGATGGCAAGGACTTACCGAGGCGATGAGTTTGTCCGAAGTCCATCTTTGCATGAGGTCACCGATGTTGACGACCACAGTGCCTTCTATTGGGGTAGCAGGGATCCATTTGTCTTCCACGTTTCTCACCTACAACAGGGTGGACAAAATGGATTTTTAAGTATTGTTATAAACTTTACTTAAAATATGTGCGTGTCTGTCTGTCCATCTGTCTGTCTGTCTCTTTCATCTGTACATTTGCCCATCTTTGTGATCTCTATTTCCCTATTTCTTTTCTTCTCTCTCTCTCTCTGTCCCTTTTTCTCTATCCAACAATTTCTTTCTCTCTTTCTCTATCCATCTTTTTCTATCGTTTTTGTTATCCCTCTTTCTCCAACAACTTCTCTACCCCTCTTTCTATCTCAATCTATGTGTCTCTGCCACTCCCCCTCTTTCTTGCTTTCTCCAACCATATCATACAGGTAAAGGTTGAGTAAATTTACAGTTATTAAATGTGTGAATGCATGATCAAACAGAAATAGCTACCGGCAAAGAATGTTATTTTTTTCCCCCCACAATTTGGGTTAGACAAATATTTGTCACATTCCACGCATTATCCTTTAAGCAAGGTCCATAACACTGGAAACAGATAACAAAGATATCTAAAACCTTCAAACTACATGTATTCATGATCACCAGGTGAAAAAAAAAAGAGTAAATAATTTACTCCATTTGATAAAATATTCACATTTATAAGGCACGTGCATGTAAAAACTACCTGCAGATATCTCTGTGACCTGCATTGCAGATATCTCAGTGATATATTCATAATCTTGTTTAGCAAATTGAAAATGTCACCTCACTACTTCCTGTAATGATTTATGGATTTGTTTTTCTCCTGGAAAATCCATTTGGTGAAATATGTAATGCATGACTTTATGACTTATGACTGGCAGGACCATGTTGAACTTATGTTGAACTTAACTCTAAGTTGGACTTAAAAATTATAGAGAGCCTTTTGTAGCCTTAAAATAAAATATATTCAAAAGCAAAAATTCAAGTATTTTAGACTTTTCATAAATTCCAAATCAAGAACATGAAATCTTCCATGATAATAGAAAGCATGAATGAATTGAATCAACATTATATCCCTTTTAAAATAACTTTTACAATATATTTTTAAAGATGCTAACGGCTTTCCATAATTGTTAAGTCCAACCTAGAGTTAAGTTCGACTTTAAATCTTTGTGAAACACCCCCCGGAAACAGCAGAGTTATCCTGCTATAGTCCTCATACTCTTTAATACTACAGTCAAACCTGCTTTAGTGACCACCTGTCTACAAAGACCACCTGTCTTCAAATGCCACAATTGTTGTTTCCCTTGAAAATGGTTTCTCATTGAATCATGTTCTAAAGGAGCCTGTCTACAAAGACCACCTGTCTACAAAGACCACCTGTCTACAAAGGCCACTTTTTGTGTTTCCCTTGGGTGGTCGCTATAGACAGGTTTGACTGTACAACATTTTCTTCCATTCAAAAAAACATTTAGGCTAAAAGGAAGTGAAAGGGACGATTCCCGTTTTATTCCAATCAATATTTACATTAAGACCAGCCTGTGAGTCCTGGAACAGATCCCACCGTAGTCTGTATACTCCAAAATGAGAAATGCTACAATGTTTTCTTCCAGATAAACTTTGAAAAACAATTAAGCCAAGGGGAAGTAAAAGGGATGGTTTCCGTTTCATGCCTATTAATATTTACCTCAAGACCAGCCTGTGAGTCCAGGAACAGCAGAGTTACATGTATACCACTGTAGTCTGTGTGCTCTTACTACAACGTTTTCTCCCAGAGATACTTTGAAAAACAATTACGCTAAAGGGGATTTAAAATTTTAAAAAACTGCAAACGTCTATCATGTTGGACTTCCACTTTAATTAACAGGGGGTAATTTTCCTCGGGGGTGGTTGTCCTTGGAGGGGGTGGAATTGTCCGAAGTGAAAGGGGTTCCCGTTTCATTCCTATTAATATTTACCTCAAGACCAGCCTGTGAGTCCTGGAACAGCAGAGTTATCCCACCGTAGTCCGTGTGCTCCCCGCATCGGACCTGGTCCTCTTTCACCTCCATGTTTGCCAGGGAGGGGTAGTAGAGGGTCCGGAGTGTTGACTGGCTATGTTTGGTTCCGATTAACTTATGTCTGTCAACAAAGTATTGCGGGTCCTACATGTACAGGAGTGATGTAAGCAGACAAAATAATAAACAGAAAGTTAAAGCATGATGCAGGGCAGGTATAACACAGGTTTCTGGGGGGGGGGGGGGGGGGGGGGGGGGAGGGGGTCTAATGAATCAAGGCAGAAGAAAGTGATCGTGTACAGAGTAGAGAGTATGGAGTGTGGACTGGCTATGTTTGGTTCAAATTAGCTCGTGTCTGTCAACAAAGTATTGCGGGTCCTTTGTAAACAGAAGTGTTCCGTGCAGACAAAAATAATGAACAGAACATTTTTGTATTTTCCCAACCGTTTTTCCATGAAATCAAGACAAAAGATAGGCTTTTAAAAATCTTTCAACACTTTGTGACGGTTTACATTAACCTAAAATGTAATTAAATTGTAATAATATAGTTGGTAGAATTAAGGAATCAATCAGATCTGTTTTCCCAATTTTTATCATTAATAATGGATCGTTTTCACTCAAACTTTCAGATTATCTTTAGTTGTACATCTAGCATCAAAGTTACTACCTTAGCAGCATTTTCTCTCATCTGAACAATGTTACCAAGTCTCTTTAAAGACATTAGACTTGATTATTTTACCTCAAGGTTGAGTCCCCTAGCCATGACCTCAAGCACTCTGTTATGAAGAGGAACAAAAGATTCGAAGAGGTCTGACAAGGACGTTCGGAACTCCGGCAACTCCTCGTCTGGGAAAGGCTGAATGGGACGAAAAATTTGAATATTTTATTCATTCATGAACTGAAGCTCTCATGTACAGAAAAGCCAATGGCTCTGAGTTAACATTAAGGGCTCATTCAGATAGCTAGGGCATGGCAAACTGCCGAGGAAATAAACGACACAGGTTTTTCCTAATCTAATGTAAATGCATGGCAACTGCGAAAAAGGATGATCCTACATGTACACATATTCATTTAATTATCCATTTTTCCCTATTAGTTTGTTTATCCATCTTTCTCTATAAACATTGACTCCTCTACCCCTCTTCCTATCTCAATCTAAGTGTGTCTCCCCAACTCCCCCTTTCTCTTTCCTCTTCCGTCTCTCTGTCTCTCTGTGTGTCCAACACCCCCCCCCCCCCTCTTCTCTCTCTCACAGAAATGTGATGTGTAAATTACACTTAATGTCACCATAATATTTCATTTTTAACTGCCACAGTTTACAGATATGTGAGCGAGGCGAGTAGATTATGTCACAATTATGACAACAATGCAAATGGGAAACGCTCATACATGTAGGTAGGTATATGAGAAAATCACTGTGACAAAGTGGAAACTTTATAAGGTTCTAATGCACACTATTGTGCAAGGGCTCATGTTATTCAAAATTCTAGGTTTGGACTTCCCCAAGTTTCAGACTAACAAATTTAAAAGATATACATGCATACACTGTATACTGCAGAGCTTGAAGAAGTTTTTGAGGTTCATTATATGTTTTTATATTCTTTACATATCTTTTCGAACAAGTAATCTCAAACTAAATCTACTTGAAAAAAAAATGCAATTCGGCACCCCTCAAGAGCCCCACAAATACAGATCTTCTAGCATATATTGAACTGATGAAAATTACAAAACAAAACAAAATATTCATAATGTCCTATACATGTAGCTGGAGAAAAATCATTCAACAAACATTATTTTTCCCACTGAAGAATTCATGAATGTCATTAGTAAGGCTATTCATGTGCAGTGAGTTAACAACTAAATTATTCATACCCTTACCAGGTTCTGCAGTCTTTTAAAGGTATTACAAAGTTTTGGTATCGGGTCATGAATTTGGTTCAAATTTACATACGTATTGGAAGCATATGCGTTCCTACAATATACATTGATCGTTGTCGCGGTTGAAATCGAGTCTAAAGTTATGAAAATATAAATAATAAACTCTTTATGTTGTATAGCTCCCTCTCAAGGTCAAGATATTAATTTAGCAATGAAACAATGTTTCTTGACTAAAATCGACCGATTAGCTATTCCTGTTAGGAAATTATATTCTGATATTTGCATGGTCGCAGCTACCATCGTACGGCCATAGGCGCTATTTGAAATTTATCAAAATTTACCGGGAGCACCGGTAAATTTTTATATTAAATTTTTCTCGAAAACAGAAGTGTTTTAGGGGCTAATTGTTTAAGTGCTAATACATGTAATACATCCTCAGGGGCATCCAAATATATCAAAATTGTAAAGATTCACTATCCACACAATTTTCAAAATTTCCCAAAACTTTGTATTACCTTTAAGTACCTGTATGTGCAGAATTGATATGCCCAATTCATGTTTCTATGTTCATGTTTATTTAAGGATTAAACAAAGTCCTTAATTCTTGAGTTACCAAAAACATGAAATTTACAAGGGATATTAGTAACATACATGCACATTGTCCCAGGTAAAAGCCAATTAGTAGGTCAGGGGTTGAAATTTGGCACTACATTTAGACTGAACTCTGTAAAGGCTGACAGGTTATGGCAGGGTAGAATTTCAAAACATCCCTCAATATCCAAACAGGAACCACAAGGGCCTTTGTATTCAAATGAAGTGTCGGAACGTGTTTCAAATACAGTAACCTCACAGCATTATGTTGACAATTCCTTCCAATATCTTTCACAATGCGACGGGCCTTTTTGTCGGTTGCAATGTAATCAAAGTGAATGCACACGTCTCGGTGGAGTGCCTGCCTTGATGCAAATCATTTTATTCATCTGTTCAATACAAATAATTGTAATTCAATGATCAGAATGCAAATTGCATGCATTGTGTGTTGTTAGGTACATGTAGGACAAGCCATAAGGAAATGGTCTATTGCATAACAATGACTTAATTTTCACTACAAGAACCCCTTAAAATTCAATTGAAGTCTAAATAATCCTGGTACAACGTTGATTTACAGCTGAAGTGAATAGTATGCCAATTTTTTTTTTCTTTATTTTTTTCTTCTTCTTGTATTATGAATATCATACATCATCAAAAAGCAAACAAAGCAAGCAAAAACACATCAAAACATAATATGTTATTATATATACAGGGACAACCCAGTTCCTATATATGCAAAAGGTTAAAATAAAAATTAAATGAAAATAAATGGAAGCAGTGTATGACAGACAGCATGTCAGGTTTGTTTTTAACAATAAGCAGGTTTTAGCATCTACCAGGTTTAACTAGATAATTAATATGACACTGAACATGGAACTCAATCATTTTAACTAATGCTTTATATGTTATTTTGTATCAATTATTATTCCCAGACTTGAAAACAGGAGAGACCCAGTTAATATTGGCATTGGACTAAACATATGAAATACAGGATGAAATAGATGAAAACAGCCAAAGCCTGTATGACAGGTATCTTTGAACTTCTTCACTTGTAGCTATTTTTAAATTTTCTTTCAGTTATTTTTTTTCTTCCAGGTACACTATTTTCCTGCAATTACTTGAGATTGTTCGCAATGACTTTATCAGAGAAGAAACTAGAAAACTTCATTCTTGTTCTTTCCATTCTCTCTCTCTCTTTCTCTCTCTGTCTCTTTCGCTCTCTCCCTCTTTTTTTCCTTCTTCGAATGCACCATACTGTTATTTAATCTCTCTTTTGGGGGCCTTTCTTTCTTTCCTACCGTTTCATACTCAATCATAAAACTACCGTACTGCTTTAGATTTTATTTTGTATCAATTATTATTCCCACAGACTTGAATACAGGAGAGACCCAGTTAATATTGGCATTGAACTAAAAATATGAAATAAAAAATGAAATAGATGAAAACAGCCAAAGCCTGAATGACAGGTATCTTTGACCTTTACGGTGGATGGATTGTAGGAGGTCAAGGGATACACGCAAGATTGGAATGTTAGTCCACGTGGATTTAAAGAGGATTCAAATCAACTGCAAAAATTGTTATTACCGGGTATTGCGAAAAGTGACCTAAATATCTTGAAAAATATGATTCTGTTTGGAGTGATATTCTAATCATACTGAGAGTGAGGAGAACTACTCCTCCACTTGTAACTGTTTTTTTTTAACTTTCTTATTTAAGGTACACTGTTTTCCTGCTATTACTTGTTCTTAAATGACTTTTTCATGGAAGAAACTAGAAAACTTCATTCTTTTCCTATTGCTTCAAGTTCTCCTTCTCTTCCTTCTCTATTGCTATTGGCTTGTGACTTCCACTCTCTCTCCATACATGCCAACATTTGAAAATCAGAAATCTGTACAAATTATGCTATTTAAAAAAAAAAAAGGAACAATCCTAACTCTCCTATTCAATACTACAGACAAATTTGTACAGGAAGAGGAACACCTGCATTAAAATGATAATTATCTTCTCCCAAAAAGAGGAATTTTCCTCTTTAATCTGAACAGTTGGCATGTATGCTCTCTCTCTCTCTCTCTCTCTCTCTCTCTCTCTCTCTCTTTTGCTCTTTTTCTTCTTCATCTTCTTCAAATGCACCATACTGTTATTTTTTTTTTTTTTTTTTTTGGGGGGGGGGGGGTTTTCTTTCTTCACCGACCCTCTCCTTTGTTCTTCTTCTCCACCTTCTTCCCCCACCTTCACACTTTTCTTGTAAACTGTCTTCAATTTTTACTCCACTACTCGTCTCCTTTTCCATCATTTATCACATACATATGTGTTTAAATTTTTTTTAAAAAGTTGTATGTGAAGCCCTTCACAGCTATTGAGAGAGTATTTGTTCAGTACGATCATACCAGTATTTGCGCATGATAAACATCAATCACCTCCATAAATCCCATTTACTAGCTCATAACCCGTTATGTAAATAGAATCAAACTCACTGTGTCAACACCCGCCCACTTTTTCAAGGCAAACATCCATTTTGAATAGATCAAAACTCATTCCTTCTGCATTATCAAATTTTGTTGAAAATAAAAAACAAGAGTCTGACTTGCTGTATCACCCCGCCCCCCCCCCCCCCCCAAAAAAAAAAAAAAAAAAGTTGTCTGTTTTGTAACAAGTATTTGTACGCAAACCCACTTCAAAAGTTCACTGATCAAGTTTCACTGAACCATTTTTGATAAAATCCTCATCATAGTATGAATAATTCAAATCGGTGCATAAAAGATTATAAAGTGCGTCCCAGAAAAAAAAGGAAACTGAGAATAATCGATGTTTTATCATAACTTAATCACAATTATAATTAATAAATGACACATATTTGTAAAGCTTTAGATAATGTCCATAATTTTATTAAACAAATTCGTTTTCACTGGCTGCTTGCCATAGCGACAAACAGAGTTGACACAAGACTTTATGCAAGGCTGATTTTAAAGACTGCATGAAGTCTTTGGTCTTCTTTGTTGTTAGGGCAGGCAGCCAGTGGAGCGGATTTGTTTAATAAAATTATGGAAATGCAAGCATTACTTTAAACAAACAGAACTCTGTTATTCCTGGCTCATTTTTTCCTGATTGAAATGTCATATGAAAGGGCAGAAAAATAAAAAACTTTCTGGAAATGTAATTTTCTCTTTGAAATTCAGATACCGTTCGCCAAATGAATTTTTGGTACCCTTTCTCCAAATTGTTCTTAATCACTCATGCGTGGAATATGCATCATATGAGTTGCATCACATGAAAGAGGGGAATCTTAGCTCTACAAATGTGTCATTTATTAATATGAACTAAATCATTGTCACTCTCTCAACATGTTAAAGCCCATCTGTACAGGATGGATTAGACCACCCTGCAAGATCACTGGACAGGTGGTTATCTCATCAAATCAGCTCTCAATTAACATAAGAAAAAGAGGATCATGGGGGGACCAATGGTCACCGAATATGCATTGTTTCTTTAATATAGAGGGCACAAGCAGGTATAAGTAGTGCAGTGGGGCTTTAATACAATTTTAAGGATGTTTACCATCTTGTCTGATGCCGTGCTGAGGTTGAACGCTTCCTTCAGATCCTTAAAAGGCCTGTCCGGGTTCAACCTTGCTTTCAATGGCAAAGCAAAGAAAGACTGGTAATCATATATATGAGTAATACATAATATAATGATAGTAATCAGGGCCTGGTCTATATATAAAGAGTTTAAAAAATTGAAGTGATCTTTATTTTATTCATCATAAAAAACATCATAAAAACATATAAAATCCAAAACTTTGCGTACGAGTTAAAGAGAGACATTTACAATAGAATACATACATGTACAACGACAACAAAAATGTCATATGAATGTGGAGACAGCTAGGAAAGCCAAAGGCTTCATCGGTGCTGCCACCGTAATACAGTATAATATTGTTGATTGAAAAGGTGATTTAAAAAAATATAAAAAAACTAATGCCTGAAAAGAGGGCAAAAAACAAAAACAAAATCAAAACAAAAACCTGACCTTGTTCACAATCAATCTTTATTTATTTTGTTGGATTAGAAATGATTTTTGTCTCCTTTTAAAAACGTTAATTGATGGACTAGATTTTATATTATGAGGTATATTATTCCGAGATAGATCCAAATCAATCACAGTTCCTCTTTAGAATCAAACGCAAGTTTGCAGTCTCCTATCTCTTATGTACATAGTTGCAATTGATATCAATTGCCTTTGACCTTGTATGCACGGGTGTGTCACAACTATCTTTCTTAATGTGCTATGGTTCTTACCCTTCTCGTTCCAATTGGACGTATCCGTGGTTTGTGTTTTCTGGCCTCACACATTTCATCTTAGTCTCCAGAGGCAAGAAAAAGAACTCCTTTGAATAGGAAAAAGCATCTTTGATCTGAGGTGAAAGACAGAATAAGGGACAGATCATGGGTTAAAGGTAATACAAAGTTTTGGTATGGGGTCATGAATTTGGTTCAAATGAACATATTGGAAGCATATACGATCCTACAATATTCAGTGATCGTTGTCGCGGTCGAAATCGACTCTAAAGTTATGAAAATGTAAATAATAAACACTTTATGTTGAATAGCTCCCTCTCAAGGTCAAGATATTAATTAAGCTATAGAACAATGTTTATTGACTAAATTGACTGATTAGCTATTCTTGTTCGGAAATTATATACCACAACTACATACTCTGAGATTTTCATGGTCGCAGCTACCATTGTACGGCCGTAGGAGCTATTTGAAATTTATCAAAATTTACCGGGAGCACCGGTAAATCTTTATATTCAATATTTCTCGAAAGCAGAAGTGTTTTAGGGGCTAAAATTTCTGGTGTTTTTAATACATCCACAGGGGCATCCAAATATATTAAAATTGTAAAGAATCACTATCCACCCATTTTTCAAAATTTCCCAAAACTTTGTAATACCTTTAAGCATGATATCAAAATGATCTATTTGATTGCTTTCTTTGTGTCTCTGCATGGTTGCCCGTTTGCAACACATGCAATTTTGCACAAGGCAACATACATGTAGGCACCAATTGATGGGAGGATTGCTTTCTGTAAACACAATGGCTTTGCAAAACTATCCATTTCCAGTATTGAGTACCGGTAGCTCATCGACAACCCTTTAAAAACACCAGTATAGATTAATCTTGCCCCAAGAAATGGATAATAATCTTCAACCCTTTGGTATAATATAATCTAAACGCATCAAAGCCAGTTTTTAAACAAAAGACAACAATCATGCCTCACAATTTCTAACCCAAGTCAAAGACCAATATGTTTACATCTACTGGTAATCATTTTTGCCAGAGACAATCTCTTCACTCTTCTAGAAAATTGAAAATTCTAGTGTGGCTATATACTCTTGAGCTGAAACTGCAACGTTCTTCACGTTCGACGTTAGCAATGGTGAACTTGATACAGCTATGCATGTGATTCTAGCTCGCAGTCCTTTGAAGGCAATATCAACTATATCATGTCTATACAGGCAAAGATGAACCATATTGCGTATTTAATACCTGCCCAAGCGAGTGCGATATTACTTCTTCTTTGGTGTATACATGCTAAACATTTTGAGCTGGATTTATTACCAAGTCCCTCAGAGAGGTCTTAAAGCCATCGGTCCCCTGATTGCTGACTTATAAACATAGACATGCTTTCTTAGCAGTCAGCTAAAATAAACAAACAAAGACATTTTCTATATCACCCTGTACATGTATGTAGTGATCTTTATTGTAACGTGCTTGGCCGTAACAAAATATCGACAATAACGAAATAACAGAAATGGAAAGGACGATTATTTTAAATTACCTTTTGAGCCGGAACTCCGAAGTTCTTGAGGTACATGAAACCGATGGTAGTAAGAGCTTGATGAACATCATCAATGAGTTTCTGGAATCCTTCAGGATCTGGACTCTCACGATCCAAACTGTAAGCTGAGAAATCGATGATAGGTACAGCATCCACCATGATGGCTGGCTGGAAAGAAAATCAGAATCATTCTTGTCAATTTTGACTGAATACTTGTTGTCTATTTAGATGTACTGTTTAAAAAATATAGTATAACTATAAGATACACATGGAAAAGACCACTTCATGTACTTTCAACTGTGTGGTTTGATAACTCAAAATCCTGATACACTGCAAAAGCCAGTACACTATTGACTGAAATTAGCGATCACATGCAATACCGGTATCTCTGAGAGAATATAAAATGAAAATTGGAAATGAAAAGTTAAAGTGCCACAGCTTGGCCATGGCTGGCTGCTAACAAGACGTCTGTCAGTGATTGCCAGAACCAACATTGTGAACTCTCTTAATTACTTAAGAGGGCAGAATTTTGTAATGTAAATCGCACCTTTAACCCTAATAAGGCCGAGGGGGGGGGGGGCATGATGCCCCCCCCTCCATGATTTTCCTGATTGTTCAGGAACGCATGCATATGGATGGCGCCCCGCCGCTTGCTGACTTTTTTCTTTCGAGTCTTGCGCAACTTTTAAAATAATTTTTTTGAAAATCGGAGTCGGACCTACGGTTATAAGGTCACGTGACCTTTTGTCTTTGCATGTCAGCCCCAAAATTGCTCATTTTCGTGATTTGTGTACAAAACATATGGAAAAGTCATTTTTCCTAAAAACAGATCAAACATGGGTTATTGGGTCTTGTTTAAAGTTTAGGTGGTTGTTTTGGGAGTCAAAATAGTTGAATTGTAGTTAGAAATGAAATAAAATAACAAAAACAACAAAATACATAAGTTAAAAAAACAATGAAATACATAAGAAATTATTCAAACAAGGGATAACATAAGGAATAATATGGCTTTTCCAAACTTTTTTGTTGTATTCTTATTCAGAATGGTCTAATGAATATGTAGTGAAAAAGAATGCTTAAATATGAATAATATGATTTATGGGTAAAAATGTGATTTTTATGACCTTATTTGCATAAATTACCATAAATATGCAAATGAGTGAATTTTTCAAAATATTAAAATTAACTTAGTATTCTATACACTTCACTTGACATGCGTGCAATTTTTTTCATGGCCGAGTTCTTATGGGGGGGGGGGGGGCCCTGCCGTACTAAGACCTTAAATAGCCCGGCCTTTTAATACAAAGTTTTGGTATTGGGTCATGAAATTGGTTCAAATGAACATATTGGAATCATAAGCGATCCTACAATATGCAGTGATCGTTGCCGCCGTTCAACTCGAGTCTAAAGTTATACAATTGTAAATAATAAACTCTTTATGTTGTATAGCTCCCTCTCAAGGTCAAGATATTAATTAAGCTATAAAACAATGTTTCTCGACCAAAATTGACTGATTAGCTATTCCCGTTTGGAAATTATATATCATATCTACAGAGCTACCAAGTGTCACGCATTAGGCGTGACGTCACGCATTTGGAGGGTCTGAAAACGGCTCTCACGCACGGTGGCGCGCTAGATTTTAAAAAACGCCATACCTATACGTGTGTTATACCCTCGCATGCGCCCTCACGCGCCGAAAAATGAGAATGTCACGCATTGCCGATCTTTTACCTTGGCGTCTCTGTATCTACAAATTCTGAGATTTTCATGGTCGCAGCTAGTATTGTACGGCTGTGGGCGCTATTTGAAATTTATTGAAATTTACCGGGAGCTCTGGTAAATTTTAATATTAAATTTTTCTCGAAAGCAGAAGTGTTTTAGGAGCTAAATTTTCTAGTGCTTACATGTATAATACATCCATAGGGGCATCCAAATATATCAAAATTGTAAAGAATCACTAATCACCCAATTTTCAAAATTTCCCAAAACTTTGCATTACCTTTAACTAATTACCATCAGGAACACATGGAAGGTAAGCAAATTGCTATCTCTCCGGTATAAAAAATCTCATATTTTTGGTTAAATTCTTGACCAATTTCAAGATCGATGCTTTGTATGAGAGGAAAGGAGAGTCCACAAGCAAACTCCGAAGCCAGTGTGCAATGGTCATCGGGTGCGTGAAGGGGTGTGATTTAGAAGGCATTTCAGATTTTGTTTACCTTCAACCTAACTCCAGGAAGCTCTGACGCCAATGCCATAGGCATCAGAGCTGAACAGAGGCTGCATAGGAAAACAATTCAAACAGCGGGTTGGGCGACATTATCTCAGAATATGCAAAGGGAGTAATTACAATTTTGACTTTACGGTACAAGGTTGCTTGACTCCTCTGGGCATCTCGCAGGCCACTTGAAATTATAATTTGAAGAAGTCTTTGATGGGAAAATAATACTCACGAGGAAATCAAGTCATTGGAATATTGGAATCTAAGGTAAATATTAATGAATTAGATCTAGTTCTTTCCTTCCAATGTTTATACTCGTACAAAGTCGTAGATCTAGTAGTCGTACATACATTGAGAGCTCGATTTCAATTTCAGCCTGTATTGCGGATTGCTTTGTTCGGTGTGTGCGACCGATTCAAGGCTAGCCGCTGACAAGTGAATGTACTTTGGCGCGAAGTTTTAAACTTAATTGTGGACTTTGTCCGGGCAATGACATGCCCATCCCCTCGGGCCTGTCTAATTATGAACGTAATTTCATGACATGAAATATGATTGTTTCAAGGCTCTTACAGACGGATTGGCGTAGAAGGAACCACCAACTTTGGAGTTGGATATCTCCTATTTTATGGCACTTCTGGAGTCGGCAGATGGGTGAGTTGTCTTAGTTAAAGAAAATACTTTCTTTGAACTTTGTTTTATTATAGATCTAAATAAATGAGTAATTAAAAAGTTAGATTTTGGTATTTTGGTACTACTAGTCACCTGCTACTAGATCTAGTACTAGACTCTGGACTAAAGATCTACTTACAAGTTCACTTGTAGGCCTACAAGATTCATCCAAACCGTATCTCATCTCTTCCTCTCAATACTTATGGACAAAAAGCATAGCAACATCCTGTTGTTGACCTCTGACAAAAGCAGATGGAGAACAAGAAAAAGAATGGACATGCCATCATACAGATATGCATCACTGCACTCAGTGCACAGTCAGTGCTTCACTGCACTGACCATCATCGGAATCTACTGGCTTTGCTGCCTGCTCACCCCATCCTAACGACCGGGCAGGCAAGGCGCGGCTGCGGCGGCTCGGTCACAAACACACAGCTCAGTAACTCGCACTATAAATAATGAATATGGTCTACATAATTCCAATTCCAGCTTACCGTCTAATCGTAGATTTACTGTCTTGACTGCTGGCTGTATTAATGGCACCACTCAGTATCACACTCAGCTTTTATTTGTGTCGGTCAGTTTAAAATATACGGGCTACCTTTCGATTCATTCATTCATTCACATGGCTTTTCCTGTGAGTGTAACTCTAGCCCTTACCTTGGCTAGGTCTTTGCTTGTCACACATTCACCCACCCTATATAAGGAAGGGTCTATAGACCCTGTGCGAGTCCGAGGTCAACCAGAATAATCCAGGCCAGCCGTTTGTGTTTTCACGTTATGATCTATTCTTACTCCCATTGTATTTCAACGGAGGGGTTTGGGGGTTTATTAGGGGGGGGGGGGGGGGGGGGGGGGGGGGGGAAGGGGGGGGGGAGGGGGGGGGGGGGGGGGGTTAGCAGGGAAGATGCTTTAATTTTTTGAATCATAAAAAGCGCTCCTCCTGATTTTTTTTTTCCTCATACTTAAATTTGACATTAATTAATAAAAATTTCGTTTGAATTGGTATCAAATTTAGATATTTTAAAGGGAAAGTCCACCCCAAAATAAGTTTGTTTCGATAGAGGCAGAATAATAAGAAAATCAGGTGAGTGAAAGTTTGAGCAAATTCTGAATGAAAATAAGAAAGTTATGAATTATTGAAGTTGTGATCAATCAAATACAAATTGGCAACTCTGTGACTTATTATACGAGCTCTCCTTCATTTGCTTTGTGCATAATATTCCTTAAAATCATGTTTTCTTCGTTATTGATGACGGAATATATATTTGTTCCTTGCAGGGGGAGCATAGAAACATATTTGCAATTATTATATTTAGGGTGCATGTATGGTTAAAAATTTTCTTGAGGGAAAATGAAAATTTTTAGATTTTTTTAGTACTGAGCAAATGGAAGTTGAGCTCGCATGATACGTCATAGAGTTGCCAATTTGTGTTTGATTGATCACAACTTCAAAATCCTAACTTCCTTATTTTTAATCGAATTTGCTCAACTTTCACTGACTTGTTTCTCTCATTTTTCTACTCCTATTAAAACTAACTTAATTTCAGGATGGACTTCCCCTTTAATATTATTTCAGATGCCACCCAAATCATGATGCATGGTTGGTTCAAGGTTTCCTTAATTTTTTTTTTTGGATGCCCCTCCCCCCCCCCCCCTTCCGATTTAGGGGTGACCACTGCAAAACAAAAAACCCCTCTGAAATATTATTATGTATTATGATAAAATCTTTTGATAAAGAAGGTGTGCTTAGTTTTTAGTTAATCGGACCAGCAAACCCATCATTTTTGGACCAAATTGCAGCTATCTTACTTCCATATGCTACTTATACAGGGCCCTTTGGACAGGGTACTGTTGTCTCAGAAGGAGCGCTTTCTATAATTTAAACAAATAAAAGCAATGACTAAAGAATTATGTACAAATACGTAATTCTTTAGTGAACACATACATTGCTTTTATTTGTTGCAATTATTAAAGCCCCACTGTCCTACTTGTAGCTACTTGCTCCCTCTATACAGAAAACTTCCCCAATCGGTGCCCGTTGGTCCCCCATGATCCTCTATTTCTTATGTTATTAAAGAGCTGAGTTGATGAGATAGCCACCTGTCAGTGACCTCGCTGTGTGGTCTAATCCATGGGTGTCGATCCGTAACTGATACCTATTCATCAGGGGGGGGGGGTGATCTATTCATTCATCCCCCCCTGATGAATAGGTATTACGTAAGGATCGACACCCATAGTGTTGATAAGTTGTCATCAAATTAATAATTGCAACATTATTATGCACCGATTTGGGTAATGCTCTGCTTAGTTTTGTTTATGTTTTATTATTGGCATAAAATTGTTGGCCTAGTATGATAAATTGGAAATAAATTGAACTTAAATGAACTTGAACTTTCACCATTGAAGATGAAGAGGAAGCATTTTCAAAACATCCGTCGTATGTGTTTTCTAGCTGACTTCTCCGGCTAAAGGTCGTGGAGCCGTGATAACTATGTCAGCACTGTGACTCCCTTTGTGTGACCCTCTTTACTCTGTCCATATATTTGTTTTAAGTAATAAAGACCGTGTTAATCAAAGGTTAAGTATTGTTCTATTATACACATTGAGTTTAGCTATGTTGCCAGGAGTAGCATATTCTTTAATTTGTAAATAAATTGTAAATAAATGTTTTGCATTAGCTAGTAATATTGGAACCTATATATGTATAATTCCTTTATATATTGCCGAGTATTCTAGTTTATTCCAAAATACGTTTGACTCTTGTTGATTGAGTATGAATGTGTGTGTGATGGTATTGTTTGATTACTTGCTTCTGTAGGCCGACAGGTGGAGGAATAATATACAAAATTCCTCTGCGCTAGTTTAATATATAGACCAGTTTTGGAAACGCCCCCCTCTCAATAAATGAAATGGAAGCTCTTATTACCAATCATGTGAAAGAATGTGTTTTGACTAATACGTGATGATACAAATTTTGCCGGGAACCGCCTACTAATTAATATATTTGGTAATCATATCGATCCTGCCTGAATAGATATCGCGAATGCACTTCAACATTGAACATTAATTTGGCCATATATTTCTGCTTTTTTGCGAATTTAGGTTGAAGTATTGCCATCTAAACCTCTGAAGGCAATATTTAAACGATATTGAATGGATATTTTACGGAATATTTTGCACCCAAAACCCTTGAACCGCAATGTTACCTATACCCGTCTTTACCTTTAAATAATGATCCTCCCCCCACTCGAGAATTTTTTTTGTAGAAGAGTGAAGAGACTGTCTCTGGCAAATAAGATGTAAACTCATAGGTCTTTGACTTTGGGTTAGACATGCCCTTGGCATTGTAAAGTTACAATAACATAAAGGTACATTGTGAGGCATGATTGTTATCTTATGTTTATCCAGGGAGGTGAGACTCGACCACCTCTCTGGTTTATCTGAATTAGTCTTCGTAAATCGTGTCATTGATCACACTTTCATACTGATGACTAACGTTTAACTATTTATATACCACACAAATATTCTTTCTCTGACCCCCCCCCCCCCAACCTCTCTCTCTCTCTCCCCCCTCTCTCTCTCTCTCTCTCTCTCTCTCTCTCATTCTCTCATTTTCTCTGTTTTATTTCACCTTTTCATTCAGGCCTTTCCAGAGGGCGCTATGTCCGAGTTCCAAACGCCTATAACTAGGGTAGGGGGTTCCCCCTTCCCCCCCCCCCCCCTTGGGCTGCCAAGTGAAAATGTGACGTTCATAGAAAAACGCCATCATGTGTCCAGACCCACACAGTATTCCCAGATGCTAGTAGATGTCAGGAAAACATCACTTATGGGGTTCAAAATAGCAGATAATGTAAGTGCCCACTACCCCCCCCCCCCCCAACTGAAAGAAATATTGGTTAGCGCGATTTTCAAATTTCGGGGGGGGGGGGGCCAAAAAATTGTGCTCATAGCCTATTAAGATATGTTTTATAGAAATAAACGGGACATTTTGTAGACATTTATGAACCTGTAGTTTTTTCTCAATGCATCTTAACTATTACAAATATATTGCCACGGAAAGGTGCGTACCCAAGCCCCCCCCCCCCGCAAAAAAAAACACAAGTTAACAACATATGGTAAAGTTTATTTTACCTTTTTAAAACCAAAAATGAAAGTAGGACACCCCACACTTTTTTTGCTCAAGGGGGGGGGGGGTAGATGTTGAACCCCCAAAAGTCAGTGTTTCCTCCCCCTCTCCCTACCCCGTTGAGCCCCCCAAAATAAAATTAGTGCTTACCCCCCCCCCCCCCATGCCTCAACAGCTTGGAACCCTCACTGCCAAGACCAAATTCGAAAACTCGAAAGGGTTCAGAGGCGAGCTGCTCGGTTCACTCCAGGAGATAGACTCAGTGTAACTGAAATGCTCCACCTTCTAAAATGGCAGTCTCTCTCCGAAAGAAGAGCTCGTCTGAAAGTTACCATGATGCTATATCGTATCTTGCATGGATTGATTGCCATTCCTCCTGAACCACCCTACATCTACCCAGTATTACGATCATCTGGAAGACGACAAGCTCAATACCGACAGCCAGGCGCGCCGGAAGCAGTTTGGGATTGGGGGGGGGGGGGGGCAACAGGCGCGGATCCAGGGGGGCCGAGCGTGCCTTGCCCCCCCCCCCCCCCCCCGCAAAAAAAAAAAAAAAAAAAGGAGAGAGAGAGAAGGAAAAGAAGGGAAAGAGGAGAGAAAGGGGGAAAAAAAAGAGGAAGAAGAAAAGAAAAGAGGGAAGAAGGAGATCGGGGGAAGGACTTGCCTCCCCCTTCCCCCCCCCCCCCCCAATAAAAAAATAAAAGAGAAGGAAGGAAAGGGAAAGAAAAAAGATAAAGAGGAGATAAAGGGAAGGACAAAATAGGAAGAAGAAAAGAAAAGAAGGGGGATATCAGTTGCATTTTTCCCGCCAACAAGTTGTGGATCGAGGGGGGGGGGGGAAGACCCTAGCCTCCCCCCCCCCCCCTTCCCGCTAAAATAAGAGAGAAGGAAGGAAAAGAAAAAGAGGAGAGCTAAAAGGGAACAAAAAGAGGAAGAAAAAAAGAAAAGGGAGAAAAAGAAGCGGAGATCAGTTGCGGTTAATCCCGCCAACAATGTGTGGAGCGGCCGGGTTGGGGACCAAAATGACCGTGCCCCTCCCCCCCCCCCCCCCCCCCCCCCCCAGCAAACCTAAAAGAGAGATAAGGAAGGGAAGGGAAAGTGAAAGAGGAGAGAAAGGGAAAGGGAAAAAAAAGAGAATGAAGAAAGGTAAGGGATATCAGTTGCAATTTTCCCGCCAACAAGGTGTAGATCGGAGGGGGGGGGGGGGGGGCCACTGGCATACTGATAGGGGAGGGGGGTTGGAGAAATAGAATTAAAACGTGGTTTATTTATAATTCCATAACGGTGGTTAACAAATAATGCTGAAATGAGATAATTTTCCTCACTTCATGCGTTTGTTGGAAAATGACAAATTCCTAAATTTACAGCCAGGCAAGAAAATGCTTCTTCAGATGCCTACATATCAGGACCCCTCCCCCACACTTTCTTTGAAAAAGAATATTAAAGAGAAATAGAAAGAAAGAGAGCGAGAAAGAAAAAATAGTTAACTGCCAGTGTCACATTATAATGGGGTATCAAAATATGC